TCTTGTCTGTGTCTATGACACCATGTAATGTGGCCAGTATATTGTCTTGACATCACTTTGATGCCAGCTACAGGGATGGCCTCTAACCAGTTACAGATGTGGTTACACTCAATACTCTGGTAATAGACAATCTTGTCTGTGTCTATGACACCATGTAATATGGCCAGTATATTGTCTTGACATCACTTTGATGCCAGCTACAGGGATGGTCTCTAACCAGTTACTGATGTGATTATACTCAATACTCTGGTAATAGACAATCTTGTCTGTGTCTATGACACCATGTAATATGGCCAGTATATTGTCTTGGCATCACTTTGATGTCAGCTAGAGGGATGGTCTCTAACCAGTTACTGATGTGGTTACACTCAATACTCTGGTAATAGACAATCTTGTCTGTGTCTATGACGCCATGTAATATGGCCAGTATATTGTCTTGACATCACTTTGATGTCAGCTACAGGAATGGCCTCTAACTAGTTACTGATGTGGTTACACTCAATACTATGGTAATAGACAATCTTGTCTGTGTCTATGACACCATGTAATATGGCCAGTATATTGTCTTGACATCACTTTGATGTCAGCTAGAGGGATGGTCTCTAACCAGTTACTGATGTGGTTACACTCAATACTATGGTAATAGACAATCTTGTCTGTGTCTTTGACACCAAGTAATATGGCCAGTATATTGTCTTGACATCACTTTGATGTCAGCTAGAGGGATGGTATCTAACCAGTTACTGATGTGGTTACACTCAATACTATGGTAATAGACAATCTTGTCTGTGTCTTTGACACCAAGTAATATGGCCAGTATATTGTCTTGACATCACTTTGATGTCAGCTAGAGGGATGGTATCTAACCAGTTACTGATGTGTTTACACTCAATACTATGGTAATAGACAATCTTGTCTGTGTCTATGACACCATGTAATATGGTCAGTATATTGTCTTGACATCACTTTGATGTCAGCTAGAGGGATGGTCTGGTTAAACTCAATACTCTGGTAATAGACAATCTTGTCTGTGTTTATGACACCATGTAATATGGCCAGTATATTGTCTTGACATCACTTTGATGTCAGCTAGAGGGATGGCCTCTAACCAGTTACTGATGTGGTTAGACTCAATACTCTGGTAATAGACAATCTTGTCTGTGTCTATGACACCATGTAATATGGCCAGTGTATTGTCTTGACATCACTTTGATGCCAGCTACAGGGATGGTCTCTAACTAGTTACTGATGTGGTTACACTCAATACTCTGGTAATAGACAATCTTGTCTGTGTTTATGACACCATGTAATACGGCCAGTATATTGTCTTGACATCACTTTGATGCCAGCTAGAGGGATGGCCTCTAACCAGTTACAGATGTGGTTAGACTCAATACTCTGGTAATAGACAATCTTGTCTTGTGTCTATGACACCATGTAATGTGGCCAGTATATTGTCTTGACATCACTATGATGTCAGCTAGAGGGATGGCCTCTAACCAGTTACTGATGTGGTTAGACTCAATACTCTGGTAATAGACAATCTTGTCTGTGTTTATGACACCATGTAATATGGCCAGTATATTGTCTTGACATCACTTTGATGTCAGCTAGAGGGATGGTCTGGTTAAACTCAATACTCTGGTAATAGACAATCTTGTCTGTTTTTATGACACCATGTAATATGGCCAGTATATTGTCTTGACATCACTTTGATGTCAGCTAGAGGGATGGCCTCTAACCAGTTACTGATGTGGTTAGACTCAATACTCTGGTAATAGACAATCTTGTCTGTGTTTATGACACCATGTAATATGGCCAGTATATTGTCTTGACATCACTTTTATGCCAGCTAGAGGGATGGTCTCTAACTAGTTACTGATGTGGTTACACTAAATATTCTGGTAATAGACAATCTTGTCTTGTGTCTATGACACCATGTAATGTGGTCAGTATATTGTCTTGACATCACTTTGATGCCAGCTAGAGGGATGGTCTCTAACCAGTTACTGATGTGTTTACACTAAATACTCTGGTAATAGACAATCTTGTCTGTGTCTATGACACCGTGTAATGTGGTCAGTATATTGTCTTGGCATCACTTTGATGCCAGCTACAGGGATGGCCTCTAACCAGTTACTGATGTGGTTAGACTCAATACTATGGTAATAAACAATCTTGTCTGTGTCCATGACACCATGTAATGTGGTCAGTATATTGTCTTGACATCACTTTAAAGTCAGCTAGAGGGATGGTCTCTAACCATTTACTGATGTGGTTAGACTCAATACTACGGTAATGGACCATCTTGTCTGTGTCTATTACGCCATGTATTGTGACTAGTATATTGTCTTGACATCACTTTTATGCCAGCTAGAGGGATGGTCTCTAACCAGTTACTTATGTGGTTACACTCAATACTGTGGTAATAGACAATCTTGTCTGTGTCTATGACACCATGTAATGTGGCCAGTATATTGTCTTGACATCACTTTAATGTCAGCTACAGGGATGGTCTCTAACCAGTTACTGATGTGGTTAGACTCAGTACTCTGGTAATAGACAATCTTGTCTTGTGTCTATGACACCATGTAATGTGGCCAGTATATTGTCTTGACATCACTATGATGTCAGGTAGTGGGGTGGCCTCTAAACAGTTACTGATGTGGTTACACTCAATACTTTTGTAATGGACAATATTGTCTCTGTCTATGACACCATGTAATGTGACTAGTATATTGTCTTTAGGAGGGAGGTGATATTATCTTATCAGTTAATCCTAGTTTTTCCTACTCTAATGTTATTCATAGATAACCTACAACAGTAGGCCTACTTAAACTTTATAACTATTTGTATTTTATCAATTTTTTCTGTTTTATATTATTACAGACTACTCAAACAACACACATTACATAATACTTTTGCATTCTTGTCATACACGTTTTATTATACATTGTCTAAATTTGATATATCCTAATTTTTTAAATGTCATGCTCTGTTGTTTTTTTTTTTTTTTTTATTGCCTGAAATGTATTTTTGTCTATATTCATTTAAATGTCTACTAATTTCTTCTTACATTCAAAATGTTACCATTTTATGCACAGAGATGAAAAATAAACAATCACTATGTTTCTGATAACTTTATTTTTGAAATGTCAATTTTATTTGTAAATCAACTATCAAGCAACTATATTCAGATATCAGATATATTTTTTCCAGACTTGTCTACGTTCCTTAGTTGTTACCTTCTATGAATAAGTTACATTTTGTTTTTTATTTAATTCATCATCAAACTATTCAGTGTTTTGCTCCAAATGAGTCGCTTTGAGTTTTAACTGAACGAATCGCAATATTACTTCCTATCTACTCTCGAGACAATGACTACTAAGCTACCTCACAAGTATTGGCTTGACATCACTTTGATGTTCCCGAGGGACTGGTTTCAATCAGCCGCCGCTGGGTTGGTTAGACTCAATACTCTACTAATGATACAATCGTTCCTGTGTCTCAAATGATACAATATTACTTTGTATACTAACTTCATTTATATAATACAAAGTAAATTTTAGTGGCTTCATCGTAACAATAAGTGGTTTAACACCACTGCCGCAGCAATCCTGATGACTAAGCGAATTCCCATCTGCCCGATTGGATTTTAATAATTCAACTATTCCCTTGAATATGTCTGAGGTTTATTTTCTTTTTTTAGTATAAGGTGTAAAGGAACTTAGGTTTGCTACAGGGAAGGTAGTGGCAGGTTTTTGTTTTTTTTTTGTAAAATGTTAGTATCTTAGCATGAAATAAATATATTTGCCAAATTTTATCAAAATATATTCATAATAAAGCTATAACTATAGTACAGTACCTACAAAATGTTTACTTTTCTAGATATGAATACAGTAGCAAAAAAAGAACAGTTATTATTTCTTATTTAAGTCAAGAAACTGTATGTTTTGCTAAATGACATGACCAATGCATGTAATTGTTATTTTTGGTTAAATAAATGAGTTATTGAGTTATTATTGAGTAGCATAGGCTAATTTTCATCAAAATCAGAAAAAATTACTCCATTTTTCGTGTTCACAAACACAATATTTATATATATATATATATATCATGCATATAAAAATTCAAACAAATTGTGTTACCAAAATGATCATGTAAATCAGGCCCGGATCTAAGACATACTGTTGCCACCAAGCTATCTTCTCAAAACGAGGTAAACTTCAATAAATTGATTACAACAAGTGCTTTTTTGGAATCAGCAAAACACAAGTCAATTATTTTAATTTATTCTTTTCCTTCCATTATGATCAAAACACCCAGCGTTTATTACACTCCTGAGGTATTCACCCAATTATCATACATGAAAGCCAATATGTATATTTAAGTGAGGACGCAGGTACATGCATTTACATTTTAACACAAGCTGTCCTGTACATTTCCTTGTAGTGATTTTGAATAATCAATGTCAAATTTTTCCCACTCAGGTTCAGCCCAAAGCTGGTTGTATGGACTTGATTTAGTTGCATTTGGCTTTCATCTTTGACTGGGTAAAAAATATAAAAATTCATGTTTTTGGCCCCTGAACTATTTTTTCAAGACAAATGTTTTAGGCTAAGTGACTCTTCTAAATTCACAGTTTGTTTGAAAGTTTATGCGGGTACCTTATTTAGGCACAAAAACAACAACACTTAAGGGTACAAAAGAAACCCAAATATTTCTTATTTAGCTGTATAAAATTGTTTGGAAATAAATTTCATTTTTTGGAGATCAAAAATGGGGAAAACTATTTTTCATCCCATAAAACCCCAATCAATGAGTCATTATCGTAGTTTAAATTATTGAGCAGAGCGGAGTGAGCGGAGTGGATATTGTATGATTTAGTCCACTGTGGTTCGGTCTACCGAGTCGCTCGTTTTCGTTCTGGTATCGTATTTGGACGGAATACCAACTGATTAACTCAACTGAATCGAATCGAAACGAAATTGTGTTGTGAAGATGTTTGTGTTTATAGCTTGTTTGTACTATGATATTGCTAATAAATATTTGGATAACATGTTTATTTAGACAAATTTATTTATTTATTAGGAACAGATTCGTATTAGGATTGATTTTTTTCTCTGCTTTGACATACTGCATCGTTAGTTTTTTGAGTGTGGTAAGTTTATTCTTTGTCGATAGTCTAACCTCAATTCGTTTAACTTGGCATACAAGTTAAACATCTATCTATCTATCTATATATTAATAGGCAAGCATGTTTCTTTAAAACCTTTTTTCTCAGGTTGTGTGCATCGTGGGGTAAATCTGCGCATACCGTTAGAAAGCAATTTTCCTGTAGGTGTGCAGAATCCCTTTTTACATTTAAATAGGCTCAAAGATAAGCACAAAAAATGAGTTAAAAAATTTGAAAAAATTAACATGGATCTTATGCGTTGCCATGCTGGTGACGAAATAACAACGAAATATAAACAGAAAATCAAAACAAATGGAAGAAACTCCAATCACATGTTTTATTTACAGTGTGGGGTGAAAATAGAGAAGTGAGTACATTACATATTTTTGGTCGAGTTTCGACCACTGGACGACCTCTCGTACTTATTTAATACGCAAGCAGGTTTTTTGTGACAATTACTCCTCCGAAACTACTGAACCGATTGATATGTTTTTGGTGTCATTGGAACGAGCGTAACGTGAAGTTGTGCAGGAACCTTTCTTTTTAGGGAAATAATTAGAGGGTGAGGCCCTAGGGTTCTTTAAAGTTTCGTATTTCTCCATAAGATTAACATGGGAAACAAATATTGTTACGAAACTCCAGCTGTTGTCAGAAATTAAAAGTGGGAAGAAGAACATATGTTAATTGTGAACAGTCAATAAGTTTGCTAATTTAACAGTTTGCTACAAGCATTTACTGACTTGGTTGAAATTAAATATTTACTATTTGACCTATTTGTAGAAAACACTACAAAACAAGATCAGCTTTTCAAAAATGATATGATATTTACAAGAAATGTTGATTATATCGATCTGTTATGTACATCTTGAGTATTCCATAATCTTTAAATCAAATCTTTTAAAGTCATCAACAATTATGACTGTTATTCGTTTTAAAACAACGTCTGTAATACTTGGCAATTGCTCGATTTCGAGCAACAGGGACACTAGTTATTATTAAATTTGCCTCTTTTGAAGCATTAATGCAAAGCTTAAAGGTACGGTTCTTATTGCAATTGATAATTAATTGAATTTTTCTAGTAGGCTAGCCTAAATTTCTAAGTTTTTTAAACTTAGGACTAACTCAGGGCTAGGCCTAGGCCTACTTTTCCAATTAGAGGGTTTTAATAAGACATGATTATCAGTCACTCAGTCCACTTGTGCTAAGATAGTTAACCATAGATTGGTAATGCTAAAAAACCCCTTAATGGTAACGCTTCGTCAAGGAGACTACTTTCTAAAAGAAAACTTTAATGGGTAACTTATGGACCGTTTTCCCTTTAAAGTGTTTTAAATTACTTCATTACAAAAATGCCACTGGCGTAATACAAGCCAAAAAATACGTAAGTTAGTCATTAGGCCTAAGTTAGATCATTTTTGTAAAAAAACACTTTTAATTAGGCTAAGTTAAGTTAGGCCTACCGTACTCACAGTTTATTAAAAACAATGTTGAAAATGAACTTTTGAGGAATTAAAGTCAGTTTACACATTCTTTGCACCATTGGTCTTGGTTTTTTCCACACATTGCCCTGGAGCAGCGGCTGCAGAAGGGTGATGTCTTCCGGCGTTTTTTCGAAGGGCAGAAGCTGCATATTTTTCTACCTCTTTGTTGATTTGAAATATCTGGGGTAGCAGGAACATTTAAACTTTGAGAATATTGGCATTTGTTTGTCTTTGAGAGCATAAAGATTGTATTTTTGCAAACGTTCCATCCACGATTTGAGTAGACCTAGTTAACAGTCTATAATTTTTCATAGGCCTACTACCTTCTTGAGAGGGGCAATTCAATTTAATTAAATTAAATTCTCCCCTAGAAACTAGGTCGTTGTGCACATATGTAACATATGAGTTTACCAACATTAAGTACCTATGTTTATCATTCTGTAAAACACGCAAACATAAACTCTAAAAATGCAAACATAAAAATCACGGTAACGCTTCGTCAATGTGATTACTCACCACTATTGTACCTACATCAACTACTGCGGGGGTTGGGAATTTCCACCGCTCACGTGTCCAGCGGGTTGGGAACTGAGCTGGCGTTGGCGGAGAGGAAAAACAAACAACTGGTTTGAGCGCCAAATTCAAAAATGTGAATAGCGTAGTCTGTGAGACGACAGGTTACTAATCGAGGGTTAACCACACACCCAAGTAAACAACTCAGCCTAGGCCTAAGCCATTTCATCAAACCAAAATACTTTAAACAAAAGTGAATGTTTCTTCCTAAAGTAGAAGTTGAATCATACAGTTTCCTAAATACAAAATATTAACATTATAGAACCAAATTTTGAGGTTAAAAATGCAACTTATATGGTGGAACTTGCCTAGGCTTACTGCATACAATTGTTCTAAATATTCATGAGATTTGGTAAAAGGTAATTAATTCAAGGCCAAGTCCTACTCAAAGATCAACGCTTATTCCGAAAATGACATTCTTTTCCTGTGGAAAACGACAGATAACCCTGAAGAACATAAAACCTATCTTGCAAGTAACAACAAAGTAGGTAGTCAGTATTTTCTCTTAATGTTTCAGAAATCCTGATTATGAAATTCATTAGGTAACATAACATTTCTCTCAAACAGGTAGTTTGGAGTAGCCTAGTCGGACGTTGATATTGACTCTGGTCATGAGTTAGGCCTAAACGTGGTAACGTGTAGGCCAACCTAAAGACTATTAACGTTCCTTTTATAGGCCTAATTTTAAGTATATTTGTCATTACCAGTAATTTATTTGCCACATTGTAAGTCATCAGTTTTTTTTTTTTTTTCAGCCCTTGGACCACCATGTTGATGATATAGACATCTTGCCTGCTAGAAAGCTAGATGATTCCTTTATATGGCACTCGGAGGACGAAAACAATGGAACTGTCAAGGTTACAACATGTAGAAACTCTATTCAGGGAAAGGTTCTCATAGTAGATGATAAAGGTAAGTCTATTTTTCGAATTTAGAACTTTAAAATAAACATAGGTATAAACTAAACAATAACTTAAGCTTTTTTTAAGACCTGTTAGATTGTACCCATAGGGGCTAGTGTTTTCAATGTTTAGGCCTATTTTGATCTTTCTGAGTAGGCTACATATTGAATTAAAAATGTTAACTAGGCTGGTTAAAAATTATTACTTATTCTTTAGGATTCATTTATAGGCCTACATGTCTAGGCTAACTTATTTAATAGTTAGGCCTAGATCAACACTGCATAAGGCATACTGCGTTTTTCAGATTAGGGCGGGACTACACGAGCGTATGAAATGCCGCCGATAGTACGCGCAAAAATGTCTAGGACTACACGAAGCCAACAATCAGCAGCGTATTGAACGCGAGAGCATTGACTACACGAGCGTATAGGACGCCAACGACTGTCCTCGCCCAATGTGACTGACATTTGGCCCGTTCCAATATGGAAACGATACTGTGCTGGTCGGATGTGTAGCTGGTTTGATATATTGTTGCAGGCTGTTAAGAAGAAACGTCGTGCAAAGAGGCGTTGGTAGTCACACCCAACATTATCAAGTTGTTTAGTAACAGGGCAGTTTCAATTAATGTTTCCATAGAATGTAGGATTTTCAGCAAAACAAATACAAATATTTAGACACAAAAAACAATCAGACGACTCCAATTACAACAAGTAGTGCAGAATTGGACTTGCCATAGTGATGGGAAGGATGTATCAACCAATGGGCAGGAGAAATGCTAGTTGCCGCTACGTGCCGAGGGCCGGACTACACGAGCGTATGAAATGCCGCCAACCGTCTGCTTTTTTTGCAGAGTCAATAGCTTCATATGATGTGGACTACACGGGCGTTTTGTCTGCCTGGTGAGGACGTGAAATTCAGGCGTTCGGCAGATCTAACGCCTCCGGATGCGTAAAATACGCGGGCAGATCGCCGGCGCACCGAACTACATGTAGCAGCAACTAGCATTTCTCCTGCGGGTTGATGTGATACATCCCTTCCCTCACTTGGGCGAGTCAAATTCTGCACTACTTGTTGTAATTGGAGTCGTCTGATTGTTTTTTGTGCCTTACTATTTGTGTTTGTTTTCGGTGGGCTGTTTTGAGAAAATGTTTGTCTGGGTACATTCTATGGGTATTAAACATTAATTGAAACTGTCCTGTTACTAAATGTTTGATAATGTTGGGCGTGACCACCAACACATAACGCACGTGACCACCAAGAAACTTTGCACGACGTTTCTTCTTAAAAGCATACCAGCTACACATCCGACCTATCGTGTCCATATTGGAAAGTTCCAAATGTCACATTGGGCAAGGACAGTCGGCGGCGTTCTATACGCTCGTCTAGTCAATGCTCTCGCGTTCAATCCGCTGCGGATTGTTGGCTTCGTGTAGTCCTAGACATTTTTGCGCGTACTATTGGCAGTGTTTCGTACGCTCGTGTAGTTCGGCCCTTAAGGATAGCCTCGGAGGTTATTCTTATTGAACTATAAGATAACCGTTTTTTTTTTTTTTTTTTTTCAGTAGACCTGGCTTTAAAGTGTCTTTGTCACATAATTCTGAGGTACGGTAATAACGGTTCCACATTAAAGCAGACTCATCAATCCATTCTGTTCAGGACATTGACAGTGCTGGCTGGCTTACTGGAAATGCTAGATTAGGCCTACCGGTAGTGATGTGGGCTGGGCCGCCGGTTACTTACCGGGTGTCGTGAGTAGCCTATTTACACACAGTTCTACATGATACCTGGATATTTTACATCTCTAATTAGACCTACTTAGGCGTTCTGTCTGAAAACAGTTATGTTGAAGATAACAGAAGTAAGGTCTACACCTAAAATAGAGAGTTAACTTAAATTTGAACAATTGCACCAGACATTTGCTAAACATCCTGGGAAGGCTTATTCATTGTAAAAAATCTTTTTAGATTGAACCCAGGTTTAAGCAAAGCTTACTGTACAATATGTTTTAGGTTATGTTTGTAACCGACTCAGACATGAGATTTTGGACAATGGATGTTGTGATGCGTCTCTACCAAGTGTTGAACGCTACTCTTGCGAGACATGCAAGGATAACGGATGCTGTAGCATCTACGAATACTGCATTTCCTGCTGCTTGCACCCAGATAAAGTAAGTTACTGCACTCAAATTGCTTGATTTTGTGGATTGAACTGTGATTAGGCCTGGATTAAATGCTTTCAATATAAATGTGTGTATTAAGATTAAGCAGAGTGAGGTATGCATGTGTTGATGGCTTAACTATTAGGATCACGATCAGCTGATGTTTTAAATATGCAAGGTTCAAATTGTTTTAAGAAAAAGAAATCCCAGTTTTTTGTGCGGCGCTTTGTTGATTGGATGCGGTTACTATACTTACGTGCCTGGTAGCGCAACTTGCATTTGACTCTGAAGTTTGCTAAGTCATACTTCATACCTGTTGACATAATTCCATTTGTTCCGTGTTCCACAACATTAATCATCGTTGATCAAAATTTGCAATGACCGTGAAAACTGTAAATTTTGTTTTCAAGTTTGAGTAAGGGCATTGTAAGGTCTTCATTTATTTATTCTGAACTAACTGCTTGCCAGGCTTTTGACACTTCTAAATTTTAAAATATTTGTTACAGAAAGACCTTCTCCAGAATGTTTTGGGAAAGGCTCCAGAAACATTCAGAGTTTTGTTTGCTTCGGTGACGGATCATTTTGAGTTGTGTCTCGCCAAGTGTCGTACGAGTTCACAATCGGTACAACATCAGAACTCATATAGAGACCCGCAGGCCAAACATTGCTACGGAGACAGTCCACCTAGTACAGACAGTCTGGGAATACTTTAGTAATGTGTGTCCCCAAGTGCCGTACTACCTCACAATCTGTACAACAGAATTTATTTAGAAACCCACAGGCTAAATGTTGCAGAGATTGTCCACCTAGTACAGACAGTCTGGGAATACTTTAGTAATGTGTCTCGCCAAGTGTGGTACGAGCTCGCAGTATGTACAAGCTCAGAACTTATACAGAGACCTACAGGCCAAACATTGCTATGGGGACAGTCAACATAGTACAGGCAGTCTGGGGACACTTTAGTAATGTGCCTCGCCAAGTCTCGTACGAGCTCACAGTCTGTACAACATCAGAACTCATATAGACCCAGAGGCCAACATTAAATATAGACTATTATAGATTTGGCGCAACATCAGAACTTTCTTAGGAAATACTCAGCAAAAACGACTTGTTCAGTGTAGAGGTACTTGAGTGAAGCGGTTTAAGTTATTTGAAGCAATAGATAGTAAACTTATATAAATTCTAAATCATTCTCTAATTTGACAACTGTTTCAACAAGCAGTCTTTGGGTTCCCTATATTTTCAGGTCGGTTTGGGCCACATTAGCCTTTTGAAGCTGGTTCAGCCAAAAATAGTTTTTCGCCCAAGCTTGGATCGATCCCAACTTAGACTTTTGCTATCGCAGAAAATGATTTTGCCTTTATTGTGGGAAACAGTGATGATGTCCCTGTAACTGCATTAGATGTTCACGATTTTGCCGGCCGAGGATAAAGTTCTCTATTTTGCTGTGGTTCAAAACATCGCCATGACCACAGAAGATGTTTTTAATTTAGTCGGTACCATAGAAGACGAGAAGAGGTAAGCAATTTCGCCCTTATGAGGAAAGAAGTTCTTGATTTTCCCTGTAACCGGAGAAGTTGCTCTTGATTTTGCCTCAAACTCGTAAGAAGTTTATGATTTATTTGCGATTTCGGGGCTATCGTGTACAATATTGTATCAGGACTAACCAATATCTGTATTGAGAATAGTTTTTTAATAATCAATACCTTCCAAAGCAACCAGATGTTACAGCTCATGAGTGCCAACATCACCCAACCAAAAGTTTAAAAAGCTAGCTGCAACGCCTCTGCAATAATGACTATTTATTGTCGAATATTCTTGAACTGTGCCAGAACTGTTGTTTTAGTAAAGTATGGTTCACTTATTGCAATGTTGTGGACAATATGGTGATTTTGTGAGAAGTTATTCATATGTTCGTGTCAGGTTCATATTAGTTCTTGTTGGGATTTTTCATTTATATTAATTGTTTGACTAAGGCCTATATTTTTTATAGCACTACATTTGTTTACGGCTTGATCAGATTCTCGTGTGTTAGATTATAGAGCGTTGTTTCAATAAACCGTTAAGTGAGATAGGTGTAGATACATTTGTTAGAGAATCATTTTTTGTGCTTTTTCAAAAGGACGGACTTCATATATGTCCCTAATTTTGTGTTTAAAAATCAAAAATAATAAGTAAAGAAACCTAGACATAGGAGAAAGCAACAAAAAAACAGAACTAATCTCTAAAGCAGTTTATTCTAATCATTCATAACCAAAATTAAAAAAGTACAACCAAATGTGTATCCAATGTTCTGTCGAAACTAAACAGTACACAAACTATGTGGACACTAAAGGACCAAACGAGTCTTAACTGAATTAATCAACAACAACGTTGAATTTGAAGACTTTAACAATAATTATTAATCAGTAATTAATGAGATTAAGATTGATTTTAGAAAAGTAATAAAACAGGCAAAGGCTGCTCTATGAATACCAAAGACATTTTAATATTTTCTGAAAAATCAAATTAATTTTATTAGTAGTTTTATTTATGTATTTGTTTTTACCCCTATGTTTTGCCTGATTTACTTGTGTAAAAAATGTATATAATACAATGTTTAGATATATTTATATTTCTTCTAGATTTTTAACTGCCAAAGGTTTTATTGTTGAATAGTTAGTTCTTTATTGGTGCTTTATTTGTTGAATAGCCTAAATAAGTTGCTTTTTTTAATTGTATGCACTGAAAGTTATGTTTAACTCTATTAAAATCAGTTTTAACTTGTATAATTTATTTTGTTCTAGTTGAGCCTAATATTTCTAGTTTGAGCCTATCATTTAACAATTTCCGGGGCTCGTGGCACGAACAGCTAATGCGCTGCATGGATGAGTGCGCGAAAACGTTTTAATTTAGTTCTATCAAAATGAGAGGCATATACTGCGTCCCAGTGATTGTGGACATAGTTTTACAAGAACCCAACAGATAGCAGCACTAAACAATACTGCTAGCCGTCCCTCAGTATTGCCAAATGGAGGGAAAAAGCATTGGTGAAGTATCCGGATACACCATCAAAAAATACCGCAATAAAGCAGTTAAGCACAATTTTGAGGTTAGGTTCCTTCCACGATGCTACAGTACATTTATTATTGTTATTCTATCGAATACCAATAGATCCAAGCCCCACACTACAATATTTGTAACTACACCGAAAGAATTATACCAGATTAAAGTATAACACTGGCACAATTTAAGCGGCAAGCGAAACAACGTCTCACAGCATTAGAACAATAGTTTGTAAATGGCGCATTGACTAGTATACTTGTCGCGCGCCTCTGGAAATCGCTAGTGGTGACGAGATTACTCGTCATGCGCAGTGAACGTTTTAAGCCGTTATGTTTGGTAAACTAAATAAAAACTATTTGGGAGTTGCAATGTAAGTATATAATATAATTCACTGTTGACTTCTTCATTGATAACATTAATTTTAAACATGATTAATAACCAATCTCTATTCTTTAGGAAAAATTCAACTTATTACTAACAAACAAATTTTGATTTGTTTACCAATGAGAATATTAACCTTCTCCATATAAATCAAACACGTAAATAGTTAAACATGTAGACAAGGTACTAAAAACACCATTTTGGAACTTTGAAAACTTATATTTAAAAAGTTCTTTGTTTTATAAGATACAATTTAATCCAACATACAGTCTTAAGAAGTCAATGGTGCAAGCTGACTTAACCCCAAATTTTAAATCAAACTACCAGATATAACTTAAAAATAATATCAGTTATACTGACATTGACATTTTTTGTTGACATTATTGTTGAAAAATCCAGATTTATTTACTTTTCTTATTACTTCCTGACAGTTTAGACATTCTAGAATCGCCAGAACTTCTTGGTCCTGAAAAGAGAATGAGTTGTAATTAGATTATAATGTTGTTTAAACACATTAGATTATAATAATACAAGTTTCCAATAATCTTGCGTGAGAGCTTCAGGAAAACCCAATGGTTTATTGGGAGTGTTCAATTTTCAGACCATATCTTGGAGTTTGCATTAAACAAAATACAACTGTAACACTGATATATTCTCCCCATTTGAAGGTAAATTAAAGTTGAGTAGGATTTAGGAAGACTCAAGTTTTATAAATAGGAATGATGTTATTTAATAGTTGTTTTTTTCCTTACCTGGCTGAATTGTGTCTGGATCAAGCATAATAATGCTCGGCGTTTGACTGCTGGGTCCACTTCCGATGCTGATACGAGAATCTTCCGAGAACAAACTAGAGGCATAAAATCAAATCAGAACCAAAAGTTGTTTACACTAATCTATTGTTCTTTTAAAAAAAGTATTATTTTGAAATTTTGTAAGCCTAATAATGCACATTTGGGAGTTATATTGAATTTTGCAAAAAAATAATAGGCCTCTTCTGTTTTTATCAGATTTTATTTGGAGTTTCAAGTATTTAGGGTAGAAAATTGTCAACACCTTGTAAGGAGTTGAACAGTTATAGATGTATAGGGGTGGGAATTGGCTAATAGTACATTGTGGATGAAGGATAGAACTTGACGTTGGTCTCAGATTTAAACTCGCTCACTTGGTGAGGAGCTTAATTTACAGACAACCTTCATAATTGCGTAATTAGTATTTTAGGAGAGGCTAAATAGCACATTAGGAGATTTACAGAGTAGAGATAGGAAACAATGTACTTTGAATTAAAATTCAGGAACGTTCCTTTGCTTTTCAATAATAGGTGTAGTAATATTATTTTTGTCACCTATTACTTCGTTGTCAAGTACGTTTAAGTCTAAACACTTTTAATAGGAAGAAACGATCAGAGTTGTTCCACTTTTTCCTTCCAACAGTTTAGAGGACGTTTCAAAAATATTGTATTACCAAGAGAGGTACTATACAATTATTTCACCTCTGTTCTACCAGTTCAGTTAATGTTACAAAATGTATTTTAACCCATTGGGGAAGGAATTAATGCGCTGCCTGCAGCACCCTCTGTCGGCAATTTATTTTACCGAATTTGTACACTTTTACCTTTACTCTAGTTGTTATAGAAAGAAAACCTTAGGTAATAAATTAATAATTTTTTTGCCAATGTTTATTAAAGTAAACTTGATTTACAAATTCCAAAATTAATCCAGACACCAAATGACACTATAGTAATACCAGAAACAAAAGAACCCTGGGCCGTTTCGAGCCGCGCAGGTTTGAATGTTACGCCACACCTACCGGCGCAAACCACGTGATCTTTTCGTTTCTGCGCAGGTTTTTTTTGTTCGTGGTATGTCTATAGTAATAACATAGAAAACATTTTCTGTTTTACCTAACCGCAGCTGATTTTGGGTGATATCATTCTGGTTTCCAAGACAACACAACCTTGTTTGTTATTCGCAAAAATTAATAAGTAAATATGCAAAACAAGAGGCAAAATATTTATAAACATCATAAAATTTAGAAGAAACAAAAAGGGGGGAAAATAATAATAAAATAATTAGTGGCGCAGCGTAGTGGTGACAAGAGCGGCACTCGTAAGACAGCGGCTGTACTAGTAAGCTCGTAAGTCGGTGCCAATGGGTTAAGTTATATATTTCTGAGGTACTATTATGTCGTGATGCTCGCTGTTAAGCTGCATTTTTCTAGGTGCGTAGTCCGCTCTCCTCTTGTTATGGGTAATTTAATGGTACTGTTTTCCTAGAAGCGGAGCGTAATATCATTTCTTCGTGCTCCGTTCCTGCGCCAAATAGGTGAGACTCCAGTTATAAACAGGCCTATTTATTAGGGGGGTGTCTTATTTTTCCTATTACCTTAACTAATGCCCACCTCTATTACACAACTGACCACATACATACCTGCGATGTGTGCTCAACGTAGATCCCGTAGTACTTATCTTGGCCCGATGACTCCTCACCAGAGGCAGAGTCAGCCCCTTCTCCCCTAGGTAGCGGTTCAGCAGTGGCGCCACTTCCGAATACCTCGTCGCCAGTTCTGCCAACTGCTGCAGTCCCGACTGGTTTATGTCTTGAAGTTCCCGCAGCTCAATATCTTTCTGTTCAGACATTTACAACAGGTTTGCTTGAGTTGTGATGGTTGAAAGATCAATATCAAGGTAGCTGAGTGGTCATTGCTGATTTGATTAAAAGCGAGATCGTCACCAGACCCAAACGTAATTTATCATTTGGGCTGTAAATTAATTATACTATCCAACAGAAGGTTGACGTTACATAGTAACAAGACCAGGGTTCGTACCGTTCCCTTACTGCTGTGGCAACTGGTACCCTAGATGGTACTTGACCTCCCCTACTGCCTTCTCATGTAGAAAAAACTTTTCTGGGGCAATTCCAAAATTGGCAAGAACTGGCCAGAACCTGGTCATTACTGGGAGCAAGCCAAGTTCTTTGAGAACATTTCTGCAGCTGATCCATACATATTTGCATCCTGTGTCCTCCTTCCTTCTCTTCAGTCCTAAGCCCTTTTCTACTTGGTGCCAACATCTCAGTTTCGGTCTACTAGATGTGCAAAACCCCTTTATAAATTAAAATAGGCTAAAAAATAAGCACAAAACATGAATTTAAAATTTAAAAAAAAAATTATAATGGGCCTTATGGGTTGCCTTTGCCGGTGACGAAATAGCAATGCAATATAAACAGAAAATCAAAACAAATGGAAGAAATTCCAATTACATGTTTTATTTGCAGCGTGTGGTGAAAATAGAGAAGTTTGCACAATACATATTTTTGTCAAGTTTTTGACCACGAGGCGACCACTAGCCATTACACTATCTTAAAATATGGACTGTTTTTCTTACAAAAAAAGTTTTAAACACCTCTGGCGTGGATGGACACTAAAATAAAATAGATGGCTTAGGGACTTTTTACTGTACCTCGGCTAGATGTATTGGCACTCGAGACTCCTTAGGTTGACGAGCCTCTCTTTTGAGTTTCTTCAGCAGCTTGTCGGCTCTCAACAGCTTGGCCTGTTGTTCCTCCAACTCCTTGTCCAGTGCCCGAGCAGCCACGTCCTTGTCTCTCCACTCCCCTCTCACTCTCTCCTCACACTCTCCGAGATCTGACAGGGACAACTCCATCTCCTGTGGGCATCATATCAGAACTTGTATGTATCAGTGTGTCTTGTTGTTCCTCCAACTCCTTGTCCAGTGCCCGAGCAGCCACGTCCTTGTCTCTCCACTCCCCTCTCACTCTCTCCTCACACTCTCCGAGATCTGACAGGGACAACTCCATCTCCTGGGGGCATCATATCAGAACTTGTATGTATCAGTGTGTCTTGTTGTTCCTCCAACTCCTTGTCCAGTGCCCGAGCAGCCACGTCCTTGTCTCTCCACTCCCCTCTCACTCTCTCCTCACACTCTCCGAGATCTGACAGGGACAACTCCATCTCCTGTGGGCATCATATCAGAACTTGTATGTATCAGTGTGTCTTGTTGTTCATCCAACTCCTTGTCCAGTGCCCGAGCAGCCACGTCCTTGTCTCTCCACTCCCCTCTCACTCTCTCCTCACACTCTCCGAGATCTGACAGGGACAACTCCAACTCCTGTGGGCATCATATCAGAACTTGTATGTATCAGTGTGTCTTGTTGTTCCTCCAACTCCTTGTCCAGTGCCCGAGCAGCCACGTCCTTGTCTCTCCACTCCCCTCTCACTCTCTCCTCACACTCTCCGAGATCTGACAGGGACAACTCCAACTCCTGTGGGGATCATACCAGAACTTGTATGTATCAGTGTGTCTTGTTGTTCCTCCAACTCTTTGTCCAGTGCCCGAGCAGCCACGTCCTTGTCTCTCCACTCCCCTCTCACTCTCTCCTCACACTCTCCGAGATCTGACAGGGACAACTCCAACTCCTGTGGGGATCATACCAGAACTTGTATGTATCAGTGTGTCTTGTTGTTCCTCCAACTCTTTGTCCAGTGCCCGAGCAGCCACGTCCTTGTCTCTCCACTCCCCTCTCACTCTCTCCTCACACTCTCCGAGATCTGACAGGGACAACTCCAACTCCTGTGGGGATCATACCAGAACTTGTATGTATCAGTGTGTCTTGTTGTTCCTCCAACTCTTTGTCCAGTGCCCGAGCAGCCACGTCCTTGTCTCTCCACTCCCCTCTCACTCTCTCCTCACACTCTCCGAGATCTGACAGGGACAACTCCAACTCCTGTGGGGATCATACCAGAACTTGTATGTATCAGTGTGTCTTGTTGTTCCTCCAACTCCTTGTCCAGTGCCCGAGCAGCCACGTCCTTGTCTCTCCACTCCCCTCTCACTCTCTCCTCACACTCTCCGAGATCTGACAGGGACAACTCCAACTCCTGTGGGCATCATATCAGAACTTGTATGTATCAGTGTGTCTTGTTGTTCCTCCAACTCCTTGTCCAGTGCCCGAGCAGCCACGTCCTTGTCTCTCCACTCCCCTCTCACTCTCTCCTCACACTCTCCGAGATCTGACAGGGACAACTCCAACTCCTGTGGGCATCATATCAGAACTTGTATGTATCAGTGTGTCTTGTTGTTCATCCAACTCCTTGTCCAGTGCCCGAGCAGCCACGTCCTTGTCTCTCCACTCCCCTCTCACTCTCTCCTCACACTCCCCGAGATCTGACAGGGACAACTCCATCTCCTGTGGGCATCATATCAGAACTTGTATGTATCAGTGTGTCTTGTTGTTCCTCCAACTCCTTGTCCAGTGCCCGAGCAGCCACGTCCTTGTCTCTCCACTCCCCTCTCACTCTCTCCTCACACTCTCCGAGATCTGACAGGGACAACTCCATCTCCTGTGGGCATCATATCAGAACTTGTATGTATCAGTGTGTCTTGTTGTTCGTCCAACTCCTTTGTCCAAGGCCCAGGCAACCAAGTCTTTCCACAAACTTAGATTTGTGACACAATTAAAACGGAGTACATAGATGAACATGCCACACTCTGAAGATGACATTCTGTGGCAAAATGTATCAGAGTATAGAATAAAAACTTATACAAGAATCAACGTTTATACAAAATGTAAATCGATAATATTTCAACTTTATGCCACTGGAAAAGTAAATAAATAAATAAATAAGCACTTAACTATCCTCCAACCCGAAAACAACGCGCTATTCTTTGTTGTGTTTTGTGATCAAAATGTTTCTTTTGATAATATCATCAGGGCACAAGCCCTTCTTTATTATTCCATTCTTTAAGCCATTTTATTCCATTTATTTCTCATGTTGAGTTAAGGAGAGTTACAACTATAAGGGTTTCTTTAGTGTCTAAAGTTTACAATTTATACTAGGACGGCAAAATCTATCACAACTTATCTTGCTAGTTACGCATGATCTAATGGAACTTACATGAATCTGATTTGTAAAAACCTTCAAGATGGCCTGTCGGTCTTTCAAATTTCTACTCGCCTCAATATACTGTTCTTCTAGTTTCTTCTTCTCCTGCATCTCAGGGCCTGAAATATGAAGGACTCACAGCGATTGGTTTAGATATTGTACTTATTGGCTATACCACAGAATGTAAAATACAAAGTAAACTCGCTTATGAGACGACCATGCGCTTTGAACTCTAGAATGTTGTGCCGGAAATATACTTGTGACAAGGAAGAGCCCGAGCGGCGAGCATCCGTGTGGAAATTCCTATTGCACAGGGTCATCCTCCACTGTGAGTGTTGTAGTACGTTAAACTGGGACAGGTGGCGTCGTCCTGTAATCCAGCTACTAGGAGGTTACGAATTGTGGATATTTATAGGCATGCACTGTGGATGCGATACTCCCTGTTGTGGATTAACATCCGCACTAGTGAGTACTACGACTATCCGCAGTACTATCCTGATAATTATACCAATTTGTATATACCAAGGCAAAAATGTGGTTCGGATTCCACTATAAACTGTAGGTCCCTTAGTTGCCATTAGCTGTACGGGCTATTAATTAAGAGCTGTGTCTAAGGAATGTCGGCCTTAGTCACTAACAAGACTACAAGATCGCGCCACTCATCCTACACTCATCTCCATTCATACTTGGCTTAAAATACCTACTTTGTATGGTCGCCATTTAATAAGAAAGTATTAAAGTAAGTACGTGAGGATGAGGGGGCGGTGTTGGTCTTTGCCATAGATAATCGTTAAGTGTACCATTGAGTATTTCTTTTGTACCTTACTTCTGATGTTATACTAAGCCCTTACATTTATGAATGTCTCTTTATTTACTACAAGACTTGAAAACATGAAATAAAAAATGACAATTTCAAAAGTAACATTGTTTGGTTGAAGGGGTTTGATTGAATCAAATATTTTTCTCACACCGTGTCTGACGATTAATAAGGTTGGATTGAGTTAGGAAACCTAATCCGTTATAATTAACTGTATGAATTTTAGAATTAGGAAAGTTTTGCATTCCCTGGAGTAGGCCCTATACCAACCAGCTAATAACCAACCGATAAAAAAATAGGAGTGGATGAATAAGTAAATGTAAGTATAAAATAATAGATTAATTATGATTGTTATCTAAATTCACTACTACAATGAACCCTTTGGGCTGCTGTAGACTAACTATCAGAGTCGATGGCATCCAAGTTGCGTTTGTAGCAGTCGTTGGCCGCACTAATGACCCTCAGGGTGTTTTCCATCGCGGGGATTTCGTTTTCCGCCTTCTTTATCTTTGAGTCCAAATCGTCTCCGATCTCTTGCAGTTCGTGCCTCTCTTGAGCTATCTATATTTTAAAAGAGAACAAACTGTATTACGGTATAGTAATAAACAAATACCTTAATTTAAATACTAATTACCTTATCTCAATATTTTATTTATAAACAAATATTTGAAATATTGTTTGCTCGCTGGATATTGAAGAATTTGACAGATAAAAAGCAATAGTAGTCCTTTAAATCTACACACGTAGGTGGTAACTTTAAGCTTCCAAGTTGTTGTAGAGACATATAAAACAAGATTTTCTCACCTTAATTTTAAAATGTGCGACGGAAAAGTTTTCTCCGCTGTCCTCCTTACCCAGGCTGTCCATTACAATGTCGTGCCTGTTGTAAAATAGTTAAATTATTATTGTAGAAACGACAATATGAAACCTTTTACTGTATTACTTTTTTATACCCAGTCATAAAAGACAAAATATTTTTTACTCTAACACACAGAGCCAAAACTTCCTTTGTCACTTTTTTTATTGAGGTTTTCCATATTTTCACTTAATGGCTCATAATTTTGACCATAAAACATTAAATGCATTGGAAATGTCCACAAATTCTGGAAAAAACTTAGTTGTAACCAAACAAACTGATAATTTAATTTTTATCCTACCGTTAAACACTTTGTAAATAGAGTAGTGGTTATGAAAAATGCAAATTTGTTTAAAGGTAGTATAGATTTTTATGAAGAATAATCCGTTTTAACACAGAGAAGTAAGGTACAGAGGAAACATTCAGTGGTACACTTAAGTGGTGTCTAGCATTAGTGCTGGTGTCTAGGGCAGTCAAGTCTAACACTGCCAATCCCCCCCCCTCACCCTCATGTACTACAACGCTCATTGTGGAGGAACACCCTGTGCCCTGTTTGGTAGGAACTTCTGATAAGTGCTCACCGCTTAGTCTGTTCCTTGCCTTTCACAAGTATATTTCCAGCACACAAGATACCAGAGCTGAAAGTGCAGAGTCATCCTGCACTCAAGCTAATACACAAGCTTTCTCTGTACCAAGTTCCCCTGTGTTTTTAGTAAAATGAGAGTAGTTATTTCCCTGAGGCATTGTTTTAGATGAACTACTGGAGCTATTATTCATTTAATAAAATAAACAACATACTTTTTCTGCAGCTGACCAATCCTTATATGAAGGTGCTCAAGAGCTTTCTTCAACTCGGATTTTTCTTCTTCCAAACTTCGTTTTTTCGCAGCCATCAAATCCATCTGAAGCCCAATTTCTACTTTTCTTTCTCGAAGGGCCTGCATAACAAAACCAGGTACAAGATGAGATTCTTTATGTCTGTTCTATTGTTAAAATCTGTTTTATTTTGCTTACTACAAGTTCTCAAGCACAACAGGGTTGCAGTGGAGAAGGGGATGATCTTATATTTGATAAGAAGTGAGCATTTACTATGGTTGAAATACTGTTAATTGTCATCAATATTACCAAATGGCAAACACTTCACTACGACATGTGTTATAACAGAGCTTGAAACCAATTTTAATAAATTTAAAAACAATCCATTTAGTTTAGGGCTGTTTGCTTAAATGTTTAAAAATCCACTTTCAGGCAGCTCTCGCTCTCCTTGTTATGCTTGTTGCCTAATGACTCAAAAGTTGTAAATTTTGGATACCCTGTGAGCCAAATGAATAATGTAAGTACTCTAAATTAAAATTATCTGGTAAATGATTTCCCAACCCCATCACATACCTCACCTGTGCGTTGACGTTAATTAATTGTCCGCAAGAAAACATTGCTGCACACATGTTTCATACAATTTTCAATTATTATCCCACATTCTGAATAAAACTTCAGGGAAAGCAACAAACTTTTATCCCTATCTCAAGTTTTATCAGCCTAGATAGGATTGAATCTAAAATTGTTTAAGCCACTCACATTTTCCAACTCGAGTTTTTCACGTTCCAGACCGAAGACCTGGTTCTCATGTTTGGCCAGAGTCTTCTCTCGTTGGTCCACACGCAGCTTCAGTAGATTCAGAGTTACCTGAAAATTTGGAGGAAAAACAATAGTTGAGTAATTTGTACTCGCTTTTATAAAACGTTGAGTAATAATTATTCATTAGATTGTCGAATGTAAGGATGATCCGTATGCATTATAGTTTACTTATTTGGTTTTTTGGGGAAAAAAGCTAAAAAGTTAGGTTAGGAAAAGGCTTAGGAATATAAGGAAAAAGGAATGGAAAATAAACCTGATTTAATTCGCCTCCACAAAGGGGCTTCTTCAGGAGTTTCAGAAGCCTAAAATGAGAGAATGGTCTCGGAACTTTTGTATGGATTTATCCAGCTATAGTGCAATAACTTGTCAAATCATTGGTTTTCAAAACTACTACCACACAACTCTTTAATTGCTACAAAAAAATAATCGCTTATCACCCCATGATAACATTCTCTATTGACTATAAGTGCATACGTTGCACTTTTCCCAAATAAAATCAACCCTGTTGTTCCCATCTTTCAAAAAAGGCTTTAACAGTTAAAACACTGATCAATTAACGCTCCACAACTACCAACCTCACTAGAAAATTTCCAAAAAACCGTCAGCATTAATCTAACATAGGGAAACAGTGGTACCAACTTAAAATTGTAACCTCCAACTGAATCACCCTTAATGTCACACCTGTGTCTGCTTGTTTGTTTGTTGCAAAGCCGTCAGCTGTTTCTGCCCTCCCTCCATCAAGTACACCAATTCCTGCCGCTTCTCTGTCAGTTTCCGAGACTGTTCGTTCTCTTCGTCCACTTCCGCCGATAGCTGAATATGCTCGTTCTAAAAATTAAATAAATATGTTCTTATTGTAGAGAATACTTTATTTTTCTTTCCATAAGATATTTATTCTTAAAAATATTTATAAACCAAATGTGTAATGTCAAACCATATATATCTTTGTGTTGCTTACATATTTTACTATATGGCAATGCTGGTGTTGCTAACATTAATTATTTTGACATTTAAATAACAGTCTTTAAAACCTCTGAATTCTATCAAATATTACAGTATTAAAACAAACCTTTGTGTTGTTTTGCTAACTGATAAGTACAATTAATTAAGGAACTCTACAGCAAATTCTGCGGCAGAACTTAAAACTGTTTTTTTTTCAGTACAGAACTTTCTTAAAACGTTTAATGACCGTAAACTTCAAAAAAATTACTGTCAATGAAAATACTAACAAAACTGGATAGTTTACGTAACAAATTAGAGAACAATTATTTCAGATCCAAACTGATTTAATTTTCATACAAATAGTAGGGTAACTTATATACAGTGGGTGATAGATAATACATACATGATAATCTTATACAAAATTGAAATATTTCATGTTTGATTATGTGTTACATATTGAGAAGACTTGCCCTCTGTAAAGGTAAGCCTGCTCATCCTCCAAAATAAAAGGAACCTATCAAATCCAAACTGATGTAGACCCGCAAATATTATTTTTCTAATCATTCATTAAGCTTCTCACATTAATGAAATATTATTGTTTACCTTCTGGCCTTCGCTATAAGTTGCTATGCGTTTCATCACTCTAACATCTTCAGGCATCCACTATAGCTTCGTCATAAATAGTTACATAAAAAAGTCATTAGACACGATTCACCCAAACAACACAACCATTTAATATACAACCGTTATAGCCGTCGTGGTGGCCACATCTCATGTACGCATACGATTAATCCTGCACAACCAGGACAGCAGTTTTCATATGACACGCTGTGGGCCTAAGATATAATTGCGCCCCTTCCCCTCTTTTCTCGCGAGGATTTTTTCTCTCCCTCCCCCCCCCCCCCTAACAAAACATAAACCTATGCCCCTGGACCCAAGCCCATTACCTACTAAAGTGTAAACGATGCCAGAAGGTAAAAATTAATATTCATCAATATTTAACGTTTCATTAGTAGAAAATTAACTCCCACCTTAGCTCGGTTGTACTGTGCAGTGACCATGTTAAACACTTCCTTCTTCTTCTTCACAGCTTCTTCCAGCTCCAGTATCCTCATCTTGAGTCTGACCTTTTCCTCGTCTGTCCTCTCGCCTTGAAGCCTACTCAACTTGCTTTCCAGGACCATACTTTCCATGTCCTTTGAAAAAATTATATAGTTAACAATAACGGTAATTGTAGACTCCAATTTGAATCCAAAGTTGTCAATATGTGTTGTACAATGACACCCAAATGAACTCGTAAATTTAGTCGTCAATCTGTCTAAAGATCAGTAGTCCAGTTAACAACACAACTATGACACTATTTGTATATATTCAACTTATATTCTTAATTTATTCCATGTGAAATTTCCATGCGTAGATGAGCTGTGTCAATACAACAGCATTACTTAAAATTGTTAAATAAAAAATACAATAGTTGAATGAAAAACAAGTAAATATATTCATTGGTGAAACAGCAATTTCTTGTTTAGCCCGAAAATATTTTAAATCGTCCGTAGAAAGCGTTTTATGTATTAAAATGCAATTTTAGAGCAATGTTTAATTTTAAACAGTATCGTCAACCAAGAGCTTGGAATCAAATCGATAAAATAAAGGTTAATAATTGAAAAACCTCATCGTACATGTTGTAATAAAATATTTTTGTTCACTTTTATCAAGAACTTACAACCTCCAATCCGTATTTTTACAAAACTTATTCAAACTTACCATATCATACAGCACTTGTTCCTTGTCGATTATTTCCTTTTCAATTTCATTCACTCGTTTTTCAAATACCTAGAAAAATAATTTAGCTACAGCATTTCATTACAAATTATTACATACCTGTACCAAAAAGTAATAGTTTTAAACATTGCATGCTCATTGAAGCTTATAGTTTATTATGCCTTAAACCAATCCCTGTAAGAAATACAGTACATTTGTTATTTCAGTGAAGATCCAGTAAGTATAACATTTTCTAATTCATTATTATGCTCAGAGGTGGGCCTACATAAATGCGAATAAGGCAGTGCCTCGGGCCCCGCGCTTTTCAGGACCCCAGCACAGCCGTATTTCAGGTATTAAGAGAGGCCCACTATATTGAACTTCGCCTTGGGCCCTGTAACCTTTAAGGCCACCACTGATTATGCTTTAAAAATTAGACATTGAGTACCTTTAGTTTCATCTAATTCGTTTACAACGCCATATTTTCTAAATGAACGCAAGTATTTCACTTACCTTTGTATTCAAATTCAACACTTTTATCTCATTTTCAACTGCTTCATTATTTCTCCTTATAGCCTCAAGCTCAGATGTTTTTTCAAATACTTTTTCTTGAATCTTGTCAAATTTTGTTTGTAATTCTCTGTTGTTCTTTTCAGCGGACTAAAATAAAAGTTTTCACAATTAATATATTTACACAGAAATGCAATGTAGAACATTAGAACTGTGTCGTTAATTTTCTTTACCTACGACAGTTTTTTAAAGTAGCCGTTTCAGTTCAGTTCTTAGAATTGAAAAGTTTCCCATAACCGAATTGTTTACTTTCATAACAGCATAGCTTAGTTTTACTCACTACAACACAGGTAACGGACCAGTGAGGTTCAAGGACTGAGAGAGAAGATAATTGTAATGATTCAAACTTCAACTAATCAGCTGTTCAGGTCAATTTAATTGTTGAGTGGTGCAAATAGTGTTCCGTACAATATGTTTCATTGCATCACTGTCAGTGGCAATGAGAGGTTATAAATGAAAACATTACCTCTCTTAGAAGTTATGAGTATTGGTTTTTAGCATTAAAACACTGTCGTTGGTAAAGTAGACTTGTACGCAACTCACGTTAATAGTCTTAACACAATCATTGTTTAAACTACGTAAATAAGACAAAAAAAACTTGAAACTCGTTTAATTGTATCTGATATCCTTTTATCTATCATGTTTTTTTATCTATTGTGTACTCTTATTGTGTTTTATTATTATTTTATTTATTGTATAAAAAATGTTAAGATAGAAAATGAATACTCAGAAACCTTCCAAACCCATTCAGGGGTTAGACAAGGGGATGGACTTTCACCAATTCTTTTCAATATTGCAATAGAAGAAACCTTAAAAAGCACTAAACATATCGAAGCTGGAATAAACCTCGGATCTATAGTAAACACACTTGCTTTTGCGGATGATGTTGCATTAGTTGCAGAATCAAAAGAGGACCTAGGTAAGCTTACTGAGATTATTATAAGGGAAGCAAATAAGATTGGACTTAAAATAAGTGAAGAGAAGTCAAAATATCTGAAAGTCGGAAGAACCCAAACTGAAGGAGCTGAACCTTTTAGGGTCAATAACCATAATTTTGAAAGAGTAAACGAATTTAAATACCTCGGAGTCTCAGTTAACTGGAATAATGAAAGAGGAACAGAAATAGAAAAGAGACTGATTGCAGCAACCAAATGTTTCTGGGGCGTATCAAAAATATTTAGTTCAAAAATACTATCCAAAAACACAAAATTAAGAATCTATAAAACTTTAATTCAACCAGTGCTTTTATATGGTTCGGAAACCTGGACATTAACTAAAAATCATGAAAACAAACTTATAATTTTTGAGAACAAAATTTTGAGGAAGATTTTCGGACCTATAAATGACAAATGAAGAAGGTATGTGGCGAATAAGAAAAAACCGAGAGCTCCGAGAACTGTACAAAGAACCGGACATTGTAGCCATAGTGAAGAGTAGACGACTGGGATGGGCAGGCCATGTAGAAAGAAGGGAAGAAGAAAGTATGCTTAAGAAGATCGCCAATGGACAACCACGAGGCACTCGCCCGTGGCTCATATTCATTTTAGAAGGCAAAGATTGTGTCAACCAAACAGACGGTTGTTATCAACCATCGTTTCAAAGTGTTATATTTTTGGATGTACATATTACCTTATCTTTTAATAAAGCACTTATTCATTCATTCATTTATTCATTGTTTAAACTACTATAAATATTAAAATTAATACAATTTGAATTGCTTGATACACACATTTTGTACACTTTTCAGATCATTGCCCAACAAATATTTGTACTTTAAAATCAGTCAACCTAACTCATACTTTGAAATATATCCTATGTGTGTAAATCTGTTTGCTTAGAAGCCTAACTATAGTTCAGCCGCTTAGAAAGCGACCTCCTCCGGCATTGGTTTAGCATTAGCGCGCAGGTCGTTTTCTAAGCGGCCGAACTATAGGATAGCTTTATCTAATATTTTACAGCTATAGTAGAGGCGTTTTTGGTTTCTCAAGTTATATAATTTCATGCTATTTGTGATGATGGTATTAACACAGTAAAGATTAAGAGTTTAAATTGAAAACAAACTTGAAGCCTTTAGTTTGTCAACAAAGAAACTTTTCTTAGTTATTGATTGAATTGGATCAACTTTTTTTAACGTTTACAATATTTGTTATTATTTACCAGTTTATCTGGCCTACACAGTAGTGGCACACATCAAAGCTTGTCTCTACCGCCTGTTTACCTTCAATATGTCTTGTATCTCTCTACTCCTCTGCGCTGACGTCATGTCAGCCTCCTCCAACTCCCGTAGTTTCTCCCTCAACTCTTGAATAGGTGAGTGAAGCGAGGACAAGTGGATCTCTCTAGCTTGGATCTCGTTGGTCAGTTGCACGTTGCGGCTTCTCTCTTTGTTCAACGATGTTCCCAGATCAGTAATCACACCTCGCAAAGTCGTTACCTGATGAAAGCAAATAATCAACACCGAAAATACAGGAACAATTTTTTATATAGAGCTTGAGGGCCTGGGTTACAAGAACTTTTTTATAGCAGGTTTTAGTGAATGAGAAAGAGTCTACTTCGGCACAAGAAACTCAAAAAACTTTACCCTATACAAAAAAGAATATTTCACTGTCACTGACAGCATTTTCAACCGAGTAAGATGATCGATTGATTGACCCTCCGAACTGGAAGGTTGATTGATTTTTTAGCATAACCGATCATACATAAGTGATCTTTGAGCAACTGTGATGAGTTAATGACTAGTTTTAAACGTTTAGCAGCACGCAATAACATATTCAAGCGGGCTGAAATGAGCATGATGCTCGAAATCAATCACCAATGTAGGCTAACATCTTTTATTAATATTTACCATCCTGTAAATTATTATAGTATAGATGAAAATGTATTAAGTTCTATTAGATCAGTGACTATTAGCCGTATGAATTCAAATAAATAAATCGTTCAGGTGTAACTGGTTTTTATTATTATCGGCTATAATCCAGTTAGTTAATTAATCTAAATATGACTTACCTCACTCTTAAGGTTATTAGTTATCTCGGTCTGTTGCAAGTTCATGTTCCGTTGGTGAACCACACTATAATTCAATTCGTCCAACTGTTTGCCGAGCTCTTCGTTGTTTTCACACTGAGCCTCGTAAAACTTTCTTTCCTCGGCTAGGACAGCAAACTTTTCTCTGGCTAATGTTTTTATTTCTTGCAGCTCCTGATCAAACAAAAAATCAAAATAGTATATCGTGAACGGTTTTTCTTTATATTCCTAAACAAAAATTAAAAATTGTAAATCCGTGAATTGATATAATTAAGTACCTGAAGAGTTGAATCGATGGAACTGTCTCTCTGATTAAGAATTTTCACAGCGTTCTCCCAATAGGATATTAGGCTCATGCGCTCCTTGTGTGCCCTCCTGAAAAAAGAAGAAAAAACTTCCGTAAAAACTAGCCTAGTTTAGTTTATACAATAAATTTTCGGATAAGGATTCTACTTTGAATTTAGAAAAAAAAAACGTAGTACACCAGAGTGGATACGCTTATTTTTACCTAGGGTAGCTGAGTAGTTATAGTGTTCTCCCAATAATCATAAGGTCACCAGTTCGATCCTTAGAAAAGTCAGTTGCTTTTTAGCGAATTTCCCATATAGGGAATAAGCTATTACCGTAGTACTCATGGTAAGACCTGGACCCGGGACCGATTTACTTTTTCGTTTTGAGGTCCCTAGAGACCAAAAACACCATCCGTTCAAATTCATATATATATATATTTATATATGTGTCCGTTAGCGCGATAACTCGAGCAAAAATCATCCGATTTTGATGAAATTTGGTACAAACGTGTAAACCTACGTTTATTTCAACGAGTTCGCAAACCAGCATGATCGGACCATGGGAACGGGGGTTTATGGGGGGTTTTATGGGGCAAAAATTGGTTTTTGCCATTTTTGACCCTAAAAACTTTAAATTTAGCATTTTATTTCCAAACCATTTTGTAGAGCTTAAAAAAACAAATGATTTAGTATATTGAAGCGTTATTATGCGCCTAATGGTTACGGAGAAAATTCCAAAAAAACTGTAAATTTAAAATTCCCATGTTATTCTTATGGAGAATAAGTAAACTGTAGTAGTTTACTTGTTTATGATCATATTTTTATCAAATTTGGAAAATGCATTCATTTGATACTAAGCTATTAACATTTTACATAAAAACACCTTTTTACCCTCCTGTTGCAGCAAACCTAAGTACTCATTAAACTAATGTTACCTATTTAAATAGGGAATAAATTAGATATTTTTAAGGAGACATTTTAGTGTAAATCCAATCAGGCAAATGGAAATTCGCTTAGTCTGCAGGCTTGCTGCGGCGGGGTATTATGGTTTGTAACAGGTACTAGCTGTTAATAAATTAAATGGTTCTGGCTAAGAAACAGCTGATCTTAGACAGTGATAACTGACAAAGCTACATAGATTATCAGATCATCTCACTTCATTTTAAACTCACCCTACATTCGTATTCAGCTTAATATATGAACCAAAGTGTGTGTTGTTGTCTTAAGTAATTTAAAAATCAAATGTAATAATGTAAAAAATGTACATATATCATGAACAAAAATTGAATGGCTTAGTGAGGATTCTTATGTAAAGTTTATGTCTAACTTATAAAATATAATTATACATAAAACATAAGTTTTTTTAAATTGTTAATTTTAGAAATTGTTTCGATAACATATCCAAGCAAATAAATGACCCATACTGACCTGAAGAGTCTAGAGACTTGTTCGAGCTGGTTCTCCAACGTCGTCATCATATTGAGTTCATTTGTCAGGATCGCTTCTCGTTCATTCACATCCGCCTTCAGTCTTTGACGTTTCAGTTCCATTTCCTGCAATATGTAAACACAATACGATCAATAATAGACCAGTTTGAATATGGTAAAATTTGATAAAGATGTGTTGAAATTAGTTTGCCATCTACTTCCCCAGTAATCCTGTGGCAATTTCCAGAGCCAGGATCTTTTAGTCTCCACCCTTCTTACCTTAAACTTGGCATCATCCTCCAGTTTAAATCTCTGCAGCAGATTGTAGTCTCTGTCTCCAGCCTCCAGTTCCTCTTGCCAGGATTTTCTTGCTTCTTCTCCCCACTCTACTAGGGATTTCAGGTGTTCCAATTTCTTCATACTGCGGCTTATTTCCTCCTGAAATGTTGTAAATATCATTAACATGTTGACTGCTAACGCCGACTCTAGTCGGCGTTGCTAGCACTTCAATTTGGCACGCGCCGACAAAAGTCGGCACCAGAACAACAGAAATATATTGAGTCAGTGTGAGCTTAGCCTCAGACGGAGACGTTATAATCGTTGCCAGCCTGCCAGCTTAGAATGCGAGCTTTACAGCGGTACACACACAGTGGTGTAGGTTGGTACTAAAATTTCCCGTTAAATCCTGTCTGGCAATGCTTTTGTCCCGGTTTCGGGTATTTTTTCTCTTCAACCACACCTGTACGTTGTTTTCAGCAGTCATCGTGTTAAGTCACCATTTAAGTGATAGTTAAACAAATAACGTTGAGGTGATGCCCAACATTTTTTCAATAATCATCATATGTTGCTGACGGGGCAACTAAAACTGTCAATTTCTATTTTTTTATTTTTTATTTGTGTTCTTAAACTATAATTGCTATCATCCAATTTACATTTTGCAAGCATGTGGCATATTCATCAGGGGCTCTTCTTATGCTCCGTATTAGTTTTTAAATTCAGTATGGTAATAAAATACCGTAACATTTCCTGCATTCTTGCTTAGGGGTCATGAACATGTACAAACCTGCAGCAAGTGTTGTTTCTCGTCAGAGTCTTGCATCTGCTTGCACATGTTGCGAATGTTCTGCTCAAATTTCTTTAGATTAAACTCACTTTCTTTCGTCATCACCAATTCTGTCTCATGTTGGTTCCTTAGAGCAACGATGAGTTGCTGAAACAAATAAGGTTTAGTTCAGTAAAAGCCCTCAGAAGTCTAACCTTTGAAGAATATTGGAAATTTGTATTTTTGTTGGAGAGTCTTTTCTTACATTAAGATTGACAAACCTGCCTTGAGTTGATTTGTCGGCCATAATAATATGTATTATAATATCTGGACTCTCGGACAGGTGAATAAAAACGTATGCTGTATGTGTTCAAAGATCGTACATTTCATCCTGAAATTATATTCAGCTTAATATACACGTTCAAGTGAGTAAGATTTGGTTATGAGATCCTAATAAATTAGTCCCATTTTTCATAGAAAAGGTCTGCTTATAAAGTTGTCCATTTTCCCAAGTGAAATGGGAACATTGAGCAAGAATGGCTAATTTAGTACAATCAAATTCGAAGGATTCCATATTCAAGTTACAAGTACGGTATTGTAAAATGTGCACTAGATTCCAAATATGTGATTGTTAATCATCATTTTGTAGTGAATAGGAAATAATAATATTACCTGCAATATTAGGAATTATAAGTATAATTACCATAATCCCATAGGTATTTATCTAAATATGGAATTCCCAAATAAGTATTTCAGCATTATATTATCAGGTACTCTTGATTAATGTTATGCAAGTCTAAAAATATTCTCTTACTTGGTTTTGATCCTTCTGATTTTTTAGGGTTTCAATTTGCTTTTTGACCCTTTTATTTTGTTCATCTTGAATTTCAAGCTTTACGATAAGTTCTGCTTTGAGTCTCAACTTCTCTTCAACCTGAAAAATGATCAAAAAATTAGTATGTGCTTGGAGCTTGATTTCAGCAATTCAAATTCAGGTACCGGAAGAGCTTAGAGCCCCCGCCCCTCGTCCTAAGCCTCCAACACTCAAAATTCCTTTTCCCTATAAATAGGGCCTACAGTTAGGTTAGGTTTTAACCTAACTACCTAACCAAACTTAGTATAGCCTACTTATCAAAATCAAATGAAATGATCGATATATATCAATCAATATATTCATTCGAATGAGTGTAGGGCGTAAACTAAAGTGCAGACTTGCTCTATAATCTAGGTTTAGCTTCTGACACATTTTCTTAAAAATTCTTCTTATTTTATTATTATTTTGCGGTAATTATTTAATTATAATTATAAAACAATAATAAATTATTTTCAGGTGGAGTCAACTTATTTGAGCTGTAATATTTCAAAGTATTATTATAAATCCCTGTACACTGAAACACTTAAAACTAAAATATTTGTGACCACTTTTTGTTCTTTAATAATGTATTTAATTGAAAGCTTACCTCTTTCTGAAGTTTTCTGTTTTCTTCATTTGCAACAGGAACATGAAGTCCATCAGTGCAACCGATTTGCTTAAGAATATCTGCAAAATCTTTATCCATGTCTAATTTTAAATACAATTCACAAAAGCTTCATAAATAGTAAGGATAAGTTGTTGTTATTGTTATGGATCAAACTTATAAACTCCACTATGGGAGCATTTTTTGAACTCCGGCATGTTGTCATAGCAACGGGAGTTGAGAGAACAGCCTACATAGAGGAATTCGTCTTTGCATGATAAAGGCAAAGAAAATATGTTAATACTGTAATTTAATATGCAATGTATAACTATTCATTTATAAAATATGTTACACATTTTCACCAAATACTTATTATATACTTGCGTACATTCAATCTAAATTACACGTTTTTACTTTCAACAGTATAATTCTCTTAATTAGAAGAAAAATAAGACATTTAAAACAGCCGCGGCATCAGTAGAGAGAACAAGAAGACAACAACAGCAAAGCAGAAAAGAAGGCAGGAGTAAGAAGAAGGGACAAAGTAAACATAACTTCAGTCTTCATCGTCTTTTCGTCATCTTTTCTTTAACTTGACATTTGAGATTTGACAACCTCAACACCTAGCGAACGTGAGACGTGTAACATTATAAACATGGTTGTCCGTCAGTATAATGATGAGCTTCAATATTTGGAAAAGCTTACCCCTCATAGCTGGAAAATCAAAAAGGGCTTCCAGCCAAATATGAATGTAAGTAACTTACATTGAACTTTGCAGCTAGCTTGTAGCCGGTTTTAAGGTTATGATCATGGTCAGATAATAGGATATCTATTTTTTAATATTTAGTTCAAGCCTACCATTGGGATTTAGTCCAATTAGTACCTATTAGATATTTAGGAGTTAAACATTTATCCTCCAATTTTGTTGTAGGCCTAACCAGCTTCCTTTTGATCTAGTGTCTACCTAGGCCTAACTTAGGCCTAGGCTATGCCTTTTTAATTAATCCACTTCAAAAACATTCTAAATTTAAGTTTAATGTGTTGATTGATTAATTTTAATTGTATATGTTTTTCCAGGTAGAAGGTATCTTTTATGTCAACAACCATTTAGAGAAGTTGATGTTTGATGAGTTGCGCAATGCTTGTCGGCCTGGGATGGTTGGCGGATTTTTGCCTGGAATGAAGCAGATTGCTAATGTTGCTGCTCTACCTGGAATTGTTGGGAAATCTATTGGTCTACCTGATGTTCATTCAGGATATGGTTTTGCTATAGGTTTGTTCCTCATTCATTTGTCTTTAGAGTATTGAAATCACTTGGCCGAATAGGGTCTAAGTACTGTAAGTTAACTTATTAGCCTAATTTCAAAGTAGGGTAACTTAAGTTTCAAAGGCATTTAACAAAGTGTCTAGATGTTTGAAAATTTTTTACTTAACATAACTTGCTGTATGTTAAGGAGCCTATGCCTAGGCCTATCTTATATATTTAAAAAAATTGGTTTTTCTTTTCTGAGTTCGTTTGGCTCTTCTACCAGACCGATTCTCATGATTGTGCTTGAATTGAAGGTATGCACGCACAGATTTGCCATCAAGCATCGGCTTATATTTATCTATAATCCCACTCGGCTTAAATACGTAAAGGAAATTTGCTCCCTATGTATTTCTTATGGGAGTTTAATTTAGATTTTCTTTTCCAAGTTCGTTTGGCTCTTGTACCAGACCGATTTTCATTATTAAGGCCTCAAATTGAAGCTACGCACACACAGATTTACCATCAAGCATCGGCATATATTTATCTATAATACTCGGCTTATACGTAAACGACCTTTGCTCCCACTGTATATCTTATGGGAGTTAAATTTCGGTTTCCTTTGCCGAGTTCGTTTGGCTCTTCTCCCCGACCAATTTTCATGAAGATTGAGGTCTCAAATTGAAGGTATGATTGCACATATATGCCATCAATCTTCGGCATATAAGTATGGTATTTGCCTACTGTATTACTCGACCAAAAAAAACATAGGCTAGCCTAATTTGATTCATTTTTTAATTCTTACTTCAATTTAAGATGTATTCACTAGTTATAATTATATAATCCTATATATATTTTGTTCTAAGAACCTTCAGTGAAATACCGGCTTTCATTCAAGCTATCAGTTATAAAAATCGGACGCATTTCAAGCAAACGCAAGGTGAACAACCAACATAAAAATTATTTTTCACAAGGTTTTTCTATGATTAAAAATCAATCTCTCCAGTATTGTTTACGTTTTTTTATACGTTTTAGACACAAAATAATCAGTAAATTATAGGCTTTAATTAAAGCTAAAATTTGATAATTTGAATCAGTTAAGCTCAAGATACTGAGATTACTCAATCAGAAATCAGAAATTTGATTATTTCTCGCATAGGCTATTATATTTATTTGAACGCTGCGGAGCAGCATGGGTCCTCTAGTATATAATTTAAGTTTAGCCTAAGCCTATAAAGTTTATATATTTTTTTTATCAATTTTGAACTTTCTCAACGAAAGTTAAATCTAGAAGGACATTTTTTTACTCCGGCATCTGAGCAGCAGGATTCGTGACTGTATTAAGTGTTTTGAAGTTAGGTTAGATTATGAAGGTGAAGTCAAACTGTTTTTGCTCAATTGAAATGGTGGCTGAAACACAACAAAATAAAAATGTTGTGCTATATCATTAACTCGCAGTACAAGAAAGTAGGCCTATACTGATTCTTATGATTTGGACAATTTTGTTTGTTCAGGTAATATGGCAGCATTTGACATGGATGATCCAAAGTCTGTAGTTTCTCCTGGTGGTGTAGGTTTTGACATCAACTGTGGTGTTCGATTGCTGCGTACCAACCTGATGGAGAAGGACGTTCAACCTGTCAAAGTAAGTAAATATACCTACCAACATCAAACATGTAATGGATTCTTTAGCTAGGCATATTCTCATTTAGGCCTTCTCATGCCTATCATGTATCACGCTCTTCATCATGTATCATGTATGTACTCCTGAGTAAAGTTTTATGACAAAAACAGGGATTCACCTATACAATATCAATCAAAAACATCGTTTAAATCTAGGCCAGGGTAAGAAACAATAAAAAATCCAACATTTGGTTGTTTGACAATTAGATAACATACCCAGCTTTCATCGGACATCATCAGAGTTAAGTAAATTAGGTACCATTACCAAAGAATTAGTTGGTCGTAAGTCTGTTTCTGTTACCATTTATGACCGATTTGGTTTCAAACAAGTTTATGCCTAATCCTTAAATCGCCTTCAAAGGTATCTATGTACACATTTGTTCTATTGCAAGCCTTGCAGGGGATACATTAAAACAAAACGGAATTCTATTTATTGTAAAGTTGATTTCTTTATCAAGCAAGTCGTAACCTACTACAACTACTTCAATTGTGTGCTTGTGTTGTAGGAGCAGTTGGCTCAGAGCATGTTTGACCACATCCCAGTAGGCGTGGGGTCCAAGGGGATCATCCCTATGACAGCCCGAGACCTGGAGGAAGCTCTGGAGATGGGTATGGACTGGAGTCTGAGGGAAGGCTACGTCTGGGCGGAGGACAAAGAACACTGCGAGGAGTACGGCCGCATGCTCACAGCTGACCCGGCTAAGGTCAGCATGCGAGCCAAGAAGCGGGGCTTGCCTCAGGTATAATCTGGTGAAATTCTATGTAGCCCATATTCAGTGTTGTTTAGGTTTTGCAATAAAAACATAAAAGTTAATGGATTAATAGACTTGTGTTTACAAGTAAATATTACTGGTTTTGTCCGAGACTCTCGCTAACCGTGATAATCTCTGTCCAAACTACCTTTGTTAATCGGGAGTGTACTGTAGCCTACCTTGATTGTCTTTATCACAATCTAACATCACCGGACTCTGAAAAGTAGTGGCAACCCTTTTTATCAAATTACCTAGCCTATATCAGAAAATCATTATTTATATTGAATTAAATATTTATTCAATATTTATATTGGATAAAAGTTCCATCCATTAATATGTTTAATACATTAGGTTCTTTGCAGGACTGTACCCAAAAATCACAAACCTTTAACCCAAATGTTGTCCTGACTTCTTCAGTGAGTATGTTGAAGAAAAAGGGAGGAGGTAGATTTCTCTTTAAACTAGGCCTACTACTGTACCTGAAAAGTCCTATATTAAAATGAATTAAATCAGTGCTGTGTTTTTGTGTACCTTTTGTGTACAACTTTTTATTGTGTACCTATCCATTAGCTCCTGGGCTCAAGTAAGCTAGCTGACTTTGTCCCTTTAAAATAAATCATAACTATATTTATGGCTATTCTGTGTGTATAGAAATACTATTTCATCACCATATTTTAGTCATGAGTGTTAAACTCTTGTTTTTTATGCAGCTGGGAACGCTAGGAGCTGGCAACCACTACGCAGAGATCCAAGTTGTAGACGAGATCTTTGACAAGTGGGCCGCCAGCAAGATGGGGATAGAGTGCAAGGGACAGATCTGCGTAATGATTCACTCGGGAAGTCGTGGCTTCGGACACCAAGTAGCTACAGATGCCCTGGTCGAGATGGAGAAGGCCATGAAGAGAGACAACATAGAGACAAATGACCGACAGCTGGCTTGCGCTAGGATCAAATCCGTCGAGGGACAAAACTATCTCAAGGCCATGTCCGCTGCCGCCAACTTTGCGTGGGTCAATCGTTCTTCTATGACTTTCCTCAGTCGACAGGTAATTTATATTTACACAAGCCAATCGTGATTAATTGTATGATTACATCTTGTTAGGTTCTTAAACCTGTGTATTCATAAATAAATAGTATGGTAGGTGTATAAAAAGTGAGCAGAAAAGGAGGGTGTTTTTTTTTAAACCATTAATTTTGTTGTACCATCTGTGTTACCCAAAAATATTAAATGAACTAACAAGGTTTATATAAGGACTATTTGTGCTACAGTTTGTCTATAATGTTTTGGATCAATCTTTCAGGCATTCGCCAAGCAGTTCAATATGACCCCAGATGATTTGGACATGCACGTCATTTACGATGTTTCTCACAATATTGCCAAAATTGAGGAGCATGTCGTTGATGGGAAGAGGAAAACTCTGCTCGTCCACAGAAAGGTAGATAAATTAGCCTTTAGATTGCTTATTGTGATAAAACTTACTTACCATTTCCCGTCTCTTGTGTGTGTTACTTTGTATACAACTTTCAACACATAATTGTGTATATTGTGCAAGCCCTAGACTTGCGTTACTATTCTGAGGAGGTCCTCAACAAATCTTCAAAACACATAGTAACTAAACATGAACCTATACAATCATATTTTGACAAAAAATGCATGGCCATAGGCCTAATGATTAATAATCACTCCCCGGCTGTGGGGTGAGGTCTAGAATTTGTTTATTCGTATCAGAAATGTTGTTTTGTATTAAAAAAATTAGGCTAGTTCAAAATTCTTATAAGGTTCAGGTATTTTTGGTTGGATTTTAAAAGACAGAACAATTTTACTTTGGATAGGACGGGCTTACTTACTCTTACTCTCTTACTCTCATGGCCGGGCTTACCATAGGACAGGCTTACCTCAATAAAACGGATGAAGATAAAAAAGTGACACAAATTATTTAAATATTGTGTACCCACTGACCTATTGTTTCAAGGTCGCTGTTATTAGAAAGAGATCAGCGGTGTTTCACTCTTTCGTTCTAACAGTTGTGACATTACAAAAATAATAGGGTATTCTCAATGACCTATTACCAAGGTAATAGGTGACACTTAAGTAACAGTTAATTCATCCCATTTCTTAAATAACACCCACCTCTATGTTGTACAGGGGTCCACTAGAGCCTTTCCTCCACACCACCCGCTGATCCCAGTAGACTACCAGCTGACTGGACAACCAGTGCTGATTGGAGGCACCATGGGGACTTGCAGCTACGTGTTGACTGGCACTGAACAGGGCATGGAGGAGACCTTTGGCTCAACCTGCCATGGCGCGGTCAGTACTACCACGAGAAACTTTACACTTTACACAATTGTTTTGAGAAAAGTGAGCAGCAGCTTTTTGATGGTTTGAAACTGAACCAAGTTTTGCTTGTGGGATTTTACTTAGGTAGGTATCTGCAGGCCAGATTTTTGCTCTTGGGTCTCAAAATCGGGTTGCTTTGGAAAGCATTGATTTTTATATTATTAATTTGTGATACTGTAATCTGTTTTTACAATATTGTACATGAATGTGCCCAAATCAAAATGTAGGCCTGTCGTGATCATCTTCCACGGTCACAGTGAAGTGAAAAACATCTTCTGGGATCATGGCGAAATCAAAAACATTGTCTGTGGTTACGGCAAAATCGTCGTCATCTGCGGTCACGCTAAATTGTAAACGTCTTCCGCTGTCCTGGTGAAATCGTGAACATCGTATCATTAACCTTGATTTCAAGTGTCAAAGCTTTTAAAAATGTTTTTAGTAGGGCAATAATCCTTGTCTTTACAAATAATTTTCTTGATTTACTTTTACCAGTAGATTTAGTTAAAGATTTGTAATTTTGTAAGTAAAGGAGTTGCTAATAGTTCTGTTTTGCCTTCAGGGTCGAGCGCTTTCAAGAGCAAAATCAAGGCGAAACTTGGACTACACAGATGTTCTACGCAAGCTGGAAGAGCAGGTTAGACTATAGACTTTTATAACCAGCGTCAGACCTATCTTGTTGATTTATGTGTGGAAACTTTACTATTTTAGTTTACACAATTTTATCCTTGGGGTAATGTGTATGGTTTGTGTTGTAGGGTATCAGTATTAGAGTGGCTTCACCCAAGCTGGTCATGGAGGAGGCCCCAGAGTCGTACAAGAACGTGACAGATGTTGTGGACACTTGTCACGCAGCCGGCATCAGTCGCAAGGCCATCAAGTTGCGACCGATAGCCGTCATCAAGGGTTGAACACCTACACCTGGTTATAGGTATTTTTACGATGGCTTTTACCTGTGCATGTGAGTAAAATTGTGTATAAACCTACTAAATATTTAGTATTTAAGTCTGGCACATGTTTACCTGATGTTTTAAACTGCATTTGTAATATTCTTATTTTCTATTTTCAGAGACTGATTCAGCTGATGGAATGTTGATAAAATCATCTTGTATGCTGTTAAACCAACTAAAAAAAATGAAACAACTGTATTTCTTATGAAGAATTTAATTTATCTACGTAGATTCAGCTCTAAAACCCATTTAATTATATAAAGTATGTAATCTAATGTACATAATTAGGCCTAGTATTTATTTACTATTCTCTGCAGCCTTTAGCTTTTGTACTTTATTTTGTAATATATTATCTTTGTTTTTAAAAAGTCTTTTCTTCGCCTTCTCTTAATAATTGGACTCGTAATTAATATGTTCTTTAGTTAAAAATTGTAAAAAAATTTGTGGTTTAAGTTAGCGTAGAATTTGCATGACTAGTGAACCGTTGATAAAAATTAATTATCCAAGTTTCGTGAATTGTGCGCGATTAGCCTATAAAATATGATACAGTCACAGTGAATCGTAAAATACTAAGGAATTGTCCAAGTTAACGTGGAGTGTGCAGCTTCTAATATTACAGTTGTAAATATTTATAGTTCTTAGTATTTAGCTACAATTTATCCCCCCCTCCTCTTCCCCTCTCGCACAGTTTTGTGCCATTTTTCGCCTTGATTGTCACAAATGAAATGTGTACCTAATTGCTCTGGGGTCTAACAAACGATTGATCCAAGTATATACAGAACAGCGTTGTCGTTAACATAATAGGTTACTTATGGTAATCCTGTTACTGAAGTGTCACCTATCACCCTGGTAATAGATTACTGAGAATACCCTATTATTTTCGTTATCTGAACTGTCTAAACAAATGAATGAAAAAAACTACGTGTCCTGTTAGCGTCTTCTGTTAATAATAGCGATCATCACGAAATAATAGTACCTTGGTAATACAATATTGAGAATGCGATTATTTTTGTGTCGTCTGAACTGCTAGAAGGAGCGAGTGGAATAACGATGATCGTGTTTTCCTATGATTGACGAGCATCACAAAACATTAGTGTTTTGGTTCTGCGATTTTTTAGTACCACCGACTCACCTTATAAACATGGAGTTTGGGGGTTATTTTGTTTGGGTTTCTACTCCATTGACATTTTTACGCTTTAAGGGAACGGTCCAACCCCTGGTTGAGTTACTATTTAACGTTTATAGCATCATTAATTGATGGCCCAATGATGAATGATGTATGGATTGTAAAACGATTTTGCTTTAAATCGATCCAGCGAACTTAAGATATGAATGTGAGTAATATAACCACTTATTAACTTATTTTACGTTGTACAGTAGGCCTACATCAATCTTGGTAAATAAAAAACATGTTTAAAAAATCTAGTTTAATAATCTTTTGGCTTACAAATCAGTACAATATTCCATTGAGAAATTCCTCAAATTGGATCCTAATTATACTAAGAGCACCTGTTTCTGTTTGTAACATTACACATTATTGTCGATAAATGTTATTCCTCTAGAACGGAATGCCGTGGAATGTTAAGTTTCAGAGGATATTTTTAATAAAAAAGTATATTTGAACACTTTATTTTGTTCATTTATGGGTATTTAAGTTTATAGTTGGGTAAAAACGTATTAGAATGAAAAGGGTGTTTAAAGTAGTAAACAATGTTTTAATTTGGAATATGATAGTGTATCAGATAATATTTATTGTACATATACTGTAGCTCCTAAAAAGCAACTTATATGTTGTACCTAACAAGTGTATGACAAATCATTTTTCTTACTAAACTAAATAAAACATGATTAAATTACTGAACAGTATTTCAGTAAAAAAATGAGTATTATTATTAAAGTTGCTATTTGAATATCTGCTTTTTTTCATTCCTTGGCCGTTAATACAAGTTTCATCTGCTGTGGCTTAGAATTTTTTTTTTTATTTAAATTATTTCATTGGTTTGTTTTGTGCTTAAAAAAGGTAACTATTATACCTCAATTTTAATAGCAAATAGCTGTTTAGTTTGATCTTCAAATTTAATTTTAGAGCACTCTTCCAATTTTACTTCAATGTGGTAAATTTTCAAAGTAAAAAAATGGGAAAGGATGTTTATACTGTATGCAAAATAGCAGAGCAGGTGTTTTTTTTTTTTTAATATAGTCATTCAGACATTTTTTATTGATTTTTTTTTTAATTTTTTAGAAGTAGGCTATGATTCATGTGTGAACAGACTAAAATCGCTTTAGCTCTAAAAAACCTTTTAAAAATTGCCACTTAAGGAAACGCTCTATGCAACATTGATATCATTAATAAATTTGTGCAAACTGATATAAATTAACTTGAGATAAGTTAAAGTTAATTTCTCATTATACTTTACATTGTTATATTTTTTAGTTAACAAATTGCTAAAATGTACAATTTGGGTCACGTATAGCACAACAAAATTGAGCAGTTTGGTTAGTAAAACATAAATTGTATGAACATTGCTTAATATAATTTGTACAAATGGAATGTGCATATAATACATAGTTTTGATTTCATAACTTATCACAGCTTAACTTATTCATTCGTACATAATAAATTATTACAATTTTTAATTTACACTCAATCATTGCAAAAGCATATTGCGCATACACACTTGTTGTGATGCATGTTTTTTTATGATAAACTAGGTTATGCTTGTTTAAAAAATAAATTTAAGGCACTTGAACATTTTTGAAGCAAACAGGATTGGTTGGTTTTATATTAATTTTAATAAGATGATAATATCAAATGTAATATTTTTATGTAGTTTTAGTCATTACTAACCTACACCTCCATAATTCCCAAGTGTAAAATTTGTGCAGGTAAAATAATTTAGAGCGACGACAGGGATGCGCATACACATTAGAACAAAAGTCATCTAAAAAATAATCACTATTATAATATCTCAACAAAGTTTTATGTTTTCAGAGTAGGGGAAAATTTTCAATCTCTCACACTACCCTCCCAAAATACCACTCTAATTGACACAATCTATTCAATCTTTACCAGAAGTTATTATCATAGGTAAAGCAATTAGTACATTTATCGAAAAGGGCTATATTTCTTTTACACTTTTTCTTAGAAGACAAAGGAGTTTGTAATTTAACACCCCACACAAATTGAGGAAATTATGACTTTTATAGGAAACTTTAAATTAGACTATTCAAGATGCGTTATGCATTATTGATGTTCTTAACAAAATATTTACGTTGTAGACTATTACCTTCAAATTATCACTTAACTGCATAAATTCCTTACAAAATTAAAATTTTATTTTAACTAGGGATGGACGAGATTGGATTTTTAGTTCGAGACGAGACGAGACGAGATTTTTTATTTCTCATAAAATTTCGAGACGAGATTGAGACGAGATTTCTCTTCTCATACACAACGGGAAATGCACGTTCGAAATTTTTACCTGATTTTGTAACATTGTTAGATGACTGTTTAAATACTAAAATAATGATAATAGGCAAGAATATTTACAATCTTTCATTAAATAACATCAGCATAAAATTTTTTTATTAATCACGCCTAACTTATTAAAAATGCCTACGATTAGGAAACATGGTGATATCAGTTAGGATAGAGTTCAACTTATCCTAAAATAAAATAAATCATAAAATAAATCATAAAATAAAAGCAATATTAATTTTTATAAAATAGTTACTTGTTTTGACTTTTTTTTATAGTAATAAAACATTCCTCACACTGCTTACACTTAGACTTCTCAAATGTTATTAAAGTAATATTATTAAAATAATTAAAGTAATATTTACATTAAAAGAATTAAAGTAATATTTACATTAAAAGAATTAATTAAATAAGAACGCCTTCGAAAAGGAAACGCAACTACAACACGCTCCTGTATTGCGGGTATTGCATTGACTTTCTGCAGGAGTTTTCAATTTTTTTTTTTTTTTTTTTTTTTTTTTTTTTTTTTTTTTTATTCTCGTCTCGATAAAAATCTCGGCCAAAAAGTAATCTCGTCTCGTGTAACGAGATTGAAAATTTCCCGAAAATTTCCCGAAATTTCGAGACTTGACCATCCCTAATTTTAACACTCCTAAGGAGTATTTGTAAAGCTTTTATTAATCTCAATCTTATAAGAAGCCAATAACCTAATCTGGACAGCAGCTATTTAAATAATCTAATATCTTTTTGCTAGTTTAAAATATAAAATTTTCAACGTTTGGAACACCAAAATGTACACGCACACATTTAGGAATTTCAAATCTGTAAACTACACAAATATTACTTATTTTTGTAACTTACATTAATATTACGACTTGTATTCAACTATTATCATATAAAACAACTAAATCCGATTTGCTCCCTACTACTCGGTCTAGTCTTAAAAACTACTTGTGATGACGATACTTTGACAACAAATGAGTTTTTTCAAGTTTAAAGTTTGTGACTATCTACATAAACATATACATGTGCTGATGACTATTTCTTCATGATTTCTATTCTCGGCTGGGTCTTGGGTTGTAGCGGGGAGTGAGCGTGCGGTTCTATACTTTTCACTTCTTTTAGTTCGTTTCCCAACTCTTCGATGCTGTTGGCTTCACTAAGGTCGTCGCATCGGGGTGTCATGGCTGCTATTAGCTTCTGTAATAACAATAAAAATAAGTACCGATATCTCGGTAGTTCCATTCATTATGATTTTGTTGATGTTACCGTTTAAATGTGCTCTCAAGTGTTTAAAGCTTTTAACATGTAGTAAAAGCCCCTTTAGACCACAACCTGTTAACCAGCAGCCCGGGTTAGCCAAAACCTTAAATTTTAAGAAATAGATTTTGGGAATACTGTTGTAGATTTTGGGGCAACAAAATACAACTGTGGTTCCTCTCTTTGATCTGACTTAGCCTTTAAAATCCAACCACTGGTTAACCTCTTTGGTTTGGGGAGCGAGCTGTTCTAGTATTAGATCACAAATCCCTCCAAATCCAAATCACCAATTTTATCAAAGTGATAATGCCGCCACCCCTAGGTCTAGCCTGAAGTAATGTGAAAAACGATCTCGGGCTAGATCCTGGCGTCTTGGAAAAAAACTATTGTGGATGATCTCAATTCTCTATACAAATTCCCTCCCTTGAATAGATTTTACTGGTTAACTAGTTGTAAAATCATATCAAGTAGAATATGAGTACAATTTGATTGATTTAATTTACTCAAATTATTGTGAGAATTTAAATGAGTAAACTTACTTTTCCTATAGTGTCGCCCTGAACCCTGGACAGTACGTATACAGCTGTGATAGGTATACATAGTAGGCATGTACCGGCCACACACCAACCTAGTAGCTCGGCCCACCACGGGTATCTGTAGTTGCCGTTGTTGTATGTGGGTGGCTCGTAGTCTACTATACTGAAGATGAGCACACACTGTATAACAAAACACCTCATGTAACAGTAGACAAGAACTGGGTTTGAACTACCCTTCCAAAGAATGTTATAAAATGCCAATGGTTTTGATAAACACACAAAAAACAGTATGTGTAACCGTCCGTCATCTACAGGGGGTTGGTTTTTAGCTAGGGCTCGTAGAAAAAAGTACAGTATTCTGTGCCTTAAATATTCGCCAATTTTGAATTTTTTCCCAATTAAATTCAAGTCATTTACTACATTCTAGCATGATTAATAAATAATAATTGTTTCTAGCATGCTCCAAGGTGGTTTACTCAACATACAAAAATTATTCATTTACAACGTTATTCCTCGTGAAGAAAAACATTGAAGAGGAAATTTAAATATTTTGAGAGGAATAAAAATGTGAGTTTTTTGGGGGTTTTGGCGTTTTGAGCCCAAGACCAACCCGTGCAAAATCTCAAGACAGGTAAATCTAGAAGGGTTCTAGATTTTCCATACCTGAGTCAGTCAGTAATTTCATAAAATTAGACAAGTACAGATTGTAACTGACCAGAATGAGCAGAGGGGCCGCTACGGTCCAGCAGAATCGGAAATACAACGAGGGCTGCTGGTTGGTCATGTGCTGTATGACCCGAGACAAGCGATCAGTTCCGTACAGCCAACACACTGCGATCACCTCGAACATGGCGATATAGACCACAGCCGTCGTCACCACGTAATGATCCATTAGTTGGAAGAAGTAAATGCCTCCCTGCGATGGAAAATTGGTTGGATTAGATTTTCACAATGCCAAAACACAAGGTGACAATATTGATTAAACAAACAACATTATTCAGTTGGTGAGAAGTTTTTACATAAAATATATATGAGACTAGCTGTACCCGCGGGCTTTGCCCCGTTTAACTCCATAAGTGAGCTCGTTCGCATGGCTCAATCACGTCCTGGTTGAAGTTCGTTCGCTACGCTCATTCACTTTTAGGTTAGAGCTCGTTCTCTGTGCTCACTTGCCTTCAGGTTAGCTCGTTCGCTACGCTAACTCGCCTCCAGGTTGAAGTTCGTTGGCTACGCTCACTCACCTTTTGGTTGCAAATTAGCTGTCGTCATAAATGTAAAAGAAATAATAGTGCTGTACCCTGTTGGTAATCCTTGTAACTTTGATGCTATTGAACATCATAGAACAGAACCAACTTGTTTAATTGAAACAGCTGTTAAGATTCATTAATTCCATTTAAATATGAGTACTCATAAGGTTAACATGGGAAACTCCAGAGCCACTGGGGCGGAGCCCAGAGGTCGGAGGGTAAAATCCTTTTAGTGAGCGTCTACTACCCAAAAGGAAGATGCCTGCCAAGTTTCAGGTTCCTAGGTCTTATGGTTTCTGAGATTTCGTGATGAGTGAGTGAATGAGTCAGTGGCATTTGAGCTTTATATATATATATAGATAAAACGAGGAAATTCAACTAAATTGAAAATCTATTCAATATTCTGATTGATGTATCAACTTTTGTTACATATATAAAAAAGGATCAATGGGTGAAGACAGCGAGACACGAGACACACATTGGTGTGTATTTCAGCTGAACATGAATGGTGGTGAGTGTAGAATGGATTGAGATGATCTTTGTATGTTACTGACTAAAATCAGCTGTTTCATAGTCATGGTCATTTATTCCCAATGATAAAGGACAGCTGGTCTAGTTTTGACCCTTCAAAAAGCTACTCACTATTCTCAGAATAGAAGTTGCAACCTTTTGATTACAAGGGGAGCACTAATACCAAATTGTTTGTGTGTTTTAACGACAGTTCATTGCTAACCTGTGTAATGTTGGGAAGTCCTAGAAGAAAGGACACAAAACAAACGGCGAGCACCAGGATCTCATGACAAACCAGCTTGCGTTTGATCCAGTTAGGGAAGCCGTCTTGTAAGGACGTCACCACCACCTCTACAATGGCAAACTGGAAAAATATATATTTTGTTATAGAGTATTGTGTTTGCTCTCATTGAAAGGCAGTAAAATTATACCTTTTGCAAATGTACATTTTACTGAAATCTGATTTTTTAATCTTGATCATTTTACTGGACAAAGCTGCTTCCTTTAACAAAAGATGGAACAGAAGATGTTTTATAATATTTATTCTGACAGCCCCTGGACTACGTACATATGATTTTTTAGGCTATGGCTTACCGTCAGTAGGACTGTTTATCGTTTTTCATAATCAGATTTTGAGATTCGCATGAAACATATATGTGTACTAATAAATTCAAGGATATGCAACAGAACACTTTACATTCAAACATTGACTATTGGAAAGATTCAAATGACATGATTTCACTACACTTAAAGTATACGTTACTAAACTGCAACGGCTCCACTGCTAACAATCTGCTAAACAACAGTTTTCTGTAACATCAATAAGTGTGTCCTAACTAATTGTTTGCAGGAGTGAATCGACTCATTTTTGTTAAATAACGATTCAGAATGGCTGATGAAATAATGTTTCCGAGACATCAGTCTTACCTGGCTGTTTAATCCAAGGCAGAGCAGCATAAAGAAGAACAGAACAGCCCAGAAACTGGAGAAAGGCATTCTGGCCATGGCTTGTGGATACAGCACAAACACCAATCCTGGACCTGTTGAAAACATTATGATTGTGAAAAAAGTCAGCTTAATAGTGGTTACAAATAATAATGTAGTGTTGTAGTCGGATTATACGAGGGCCGTTCACAAAGTAACCTCCGTTTAGTCCCTGCTAGAATTAGTGGGGATTCCAAAACCATTGTACAGACATGTGTGGTATGTCAGTCCCTAGTTGTGTGAAGGTTCATCAAGAATAAGGGCTGTACAAAACAAACAGGTGACATTGCGCTGCTCCGATAACAAAATATCTTCTAGGAAAGTTCAATTTGGACGCATTAAAACATTTGCCCTACAACATTGCAACGCAGAAAGTGTAATTTAATATTCAACAATCATCATAAATATGGTTTGGAATCAAGGTTTCACATTAAAAGTTAAATTAAACCGCGTTTTCAATACCCACCATCTGTAATGACGTGCTCGATGTCCGTGTCGTGTTCTCGTGCAATGTTGCCGAGTGTGGCGAAGGCGAAGATTCCCACAATGAGACTTGTTACTGCATTGATCAACGACACGGCCACTGTGTCCACTAGTATCTGCAACAGATTTTAAATGTGATTGTTGTTTAAACACTCAAAGTGGTATTTTTTGAGCTGGTGAAAAACCATCTCCCGTTCCACATGACGTCAGATGCAAAGAGACACTTTTAAATGAGCACCGTTATAACAAGATTTTAAGTGCTCCTTGGTGACCCATTCTCAATTATCTTTCTCAGGAAGAATCGGTTTTGAAGTCGACAACCTCTGTTGCAAACGTAACAAAGGAGACTGAACTTTTCCAGAGTCTTGTCGGGACCAAAATCCTGTATCTTGGTACCCGACTCCTTATTTGGAGCTGTTGTAATGAACTAGAAATTATGGAACTGAGGAATTTTGAATTGACCGTAAAACAAGAGAAACTCATTCAACTCATCAGACATAATACATCCAATAGGAAGAAAAGTCTACTTTTGAAGGATCCAAAGTTAATATTATGAACTATTTGAAACATATATTGAAATTAGAGGTTTTATGCTAGATTTTTTTATTGTTATCCGGTATTTAAGATCATGGAAAGCATAAAGAAGTAAAATTGGAATTTTACCGTGTTGTTGTATCTGTTGTAACTTGCAAACGAGATGACTGAACCAAACGAGATCCCGATGGAATTGAAGTTTTGTGCCACTGCATTCACCCAGACCTGAACAAGGAGATAGTTTTAAAAACATATATTTACTAAGATTCCAAACAATAATAAAATGGGATTACCAGCTCTTCAATATTAATGCAACATTGATTATTGTGAGCTAGCAACCTTCAGAGGTGTATAGAACAACCCCCTTCCCACCATTATAGGGGGAGGAAAACCAAAAATATTTTATATTTCAAAAAATCTTAAACAATCAAATAAAAATATGTGGTTGTGCTTGTCTGCTAGTTTAGTAGGCCAAAGGCTTGGCCCTTGTATGCCTTAACCAGTGGTGTGGTCCTAAAATGTCCTGTGTGGAAACGCTCGTCATCATCTAAAAATTGACTAACAAATAGGATTAATAATAGGACTATTGAAAAAACAAAGTGGGAACCACTCCACTACACCACTGGCCTTAACCACCTGGAAAATTTACAGCCAGTTAAACTGTGACTTACAAAAAAATTATAATCCTCCACCCAGGTTGGAGGTTGCATTGAAGCTATATTACACTACTGAATAAATTCCCTGAGGTGGTACTACCAGTTGCAAAACAAATTTCCTCATCATAAAAAATGTTAACACCCCACCTTAGCATCTAAAAGAAGAATCCAGTTAGGCTTGAAGAAGTATTGAAGTCCGTAATCAGCGCCCTCTAGTGTGAGAGATCTGCCGAGGAACGCCAGCACCAGAACGAACGGTAACGTAGTCGTTACGTACAACACTCGGCCGGTCGAACGGACGGATTTCCACAGAGCGAAGTAGACAATCACCCAGACCAGGAACAGGCAAGCTGCAATCTCCCAGCGAACTGTGCCTGGCTTGTCTATACCTGCCGACAGCTGCAGCACCTTCCGACTGTGATTAGACAAAGGGGTTGTACACAAATAGAAGGTGGAAGAATGAAGACAATTACATGAATACTGTATTTTAAATCTTATGATTGGATGGCAATAGGAAACTGTGTTAAGGCTGGAGAGGAATTTTGTGAAGGAATAAGAGAAGGACTTTGAACGAACAGGATTAAGAATATTACTGTGGTATCTCAATAGCAAAGCCTCAAAAGATTTTTAAAATACCTACAGTGCGTTCAAACAGCCGTGGCACCTGAGGGATTAGGAGACCCCAAGGGTTTCCATGGGGTCTCCTAATCCGTCAGGTGCCACGGCTGTTTGAACGCACTGTACGCGTCTATCTAAGTTGAGACGTATCAATTACATTACATAACCTATATGATGGGGGCGCTAAGGTGCGTCTTTTAACCTCTATAAGTGAAGGATAATTTATTGTACTTGTAGACTTGAGTGAGATGTCTTGTGTAGCTTTTTTACTGACTAAGAAAAAATCTTAACAAAAGGGGTGCTACTAAATTGTGAAAAATTTGGAACATTTCTATGTAAAAAGGGGCAGCTATGAACTACTAACTGTTCATTCTAATTGAGATCCAAATCCGTGGATGAAATTAAATACAGTTTCAGGGAGTTCAGGAACTATTTTGCTTGCCCCCTCTTCAATCCATCGGTTAAAATGAAGATCACAATCCAAACTAAGCATCACCTGTTTGGGTGTATATCGCGAGCAAAAAACTGACTTGATTTAGAACTCTAAGTTGAAAAACATTCAATCAACTAACACATAAATCTGAATTAACTTCAATTACTGTCGATCTGTTGTTTTTACTTACTAACCACATAAGAAACAGCTGACTATGAAGTATAAATTTCCAAAGGGAGTGGTAATTAGCATTGAATGCACCGTGTTAAACACCTTCGTTTGACAGGAAGCTATTTATTGTCTGCGTTTCTTCATAAACAGCCAAGACAATTGCATCCTGTACATAATTTATTCAACACACCTCTGACTCTTGCATTCTTACTTTCCTGCAGTAGCTATATTTATCTCTGAGACTTATGTGTTTGTAAATAAAGTTTTGTCACACTGGTTCTATTTTAGTAATGTTTTTCCAAAATTAAGTTAAAAATATGAGTGCGATCCAGAATGCTAAGGAACTTTTTCGTCTGCCGATGTTAAGCTTGGGCTGGTCGCGCACTTCCTAGTACTGTACAGACAGAAAGAGCACCATGACATAAATTATCGATTTATGTTGATTGCGCCATTTTTTTACCAAAAGTCAAAGTGATAAGCCAACGTATTGTAAGGTAAAGCATCTGTTATGTCACTTAAACTAAAGACAATAATAGAATTTTAGACAGTAGCGAAATCTTTGAGTGGCTTAATGAAAAATATGATATAGCTGGTCAAAACAGATAGGATGTCCACTTCAGTATCCAAATATCCAAAAGTCACTGCTTGAAAACAAAAATAACAGTTAGATTCTGGTGCCAACTTACTCGTAAAACTCCTCTGAAGGAGATTGAGAGAAGTTTGGCCGCGTAGTGTTGAGCGAGGGCTGCCAACATTGAGGAGTGTTCCACCGGTTACCACAGTCGGTCCATGGCGCGTTGGCACGGAATGCGGTGAAGAAGTAGTATAGGAAATAGGCGATGATGACGCTGTAGTAGGTGGACATGAAGAAAGAAACCACCACACTACTCAGTCCCGCCCCTGTCAACATTAGGGAAAAAGTTTATACCAAGTAGATTACATGTTTAGCATTTATTTATTATTGTTATTACTTTTAGTCAGCAAACCTAGGTGCGTATTTTAAAAGTTTTCAAAACCCCGGATTTTATATTAACGTTAATCACATTTTGCAAACCTCGACGGAGTCCAACTTAATTACAAGTCTTATTTGAATCCCACAAGAAACTTGCTATCGAGGTTCTACCCTACTAGCAATATTACATTTCCCCCCTCAATTAAGCTACACAAAAAAACAAAATATTTACCTTTGAACATTGGACAAAGCTGTGAAAGAGCACCAATGGGACCTCGTCGGGTAAATTGTCCCACAGCTAACTCCATGTACAGCAGAGGTACGCCACATAATAATAGCACCAGGAAATATGGCACCAGGAACACACCTGTAAATACATGGACTGTGAAAATATTTTCTTAAAATTTTATCAGGCTGAAATATTAACGTACCTTACAATATAATTTGAAATTGACGTTAATAAAGGTTTCGAGGCAACTGCCTCATTTTATGGCACATCCTCTCATAAGATTTGTTCAAAGGTATAATTTTAACCTTAAACCCAAACACATGTCAGTCATCAAATAAATATTTTATGAACAAAGAAAAATCTGTGTTAGGTCTTATATCTGCGGGCCGGAACAAAAAGTGTCTGTATGCACATAAGAGCTAATCATGTACAATGTTTTTTGTTTTCTTCTTGTAAATATTTTTAAATTTATGTTTTTATTGTTCACTTAAAATTTTTACTAGTGATGAATCATACAAGAGGGTTGTGGCAGTTACCATGAAACATAATACCAGAATAGTATTGACAAATTCCTGGGGTATTCTAAGGTAAATAAATATTAATACTTAAGTAAAAAAAACTTTAGGCCCTAAAATACTTTATAAGTATAATTTTCCATTGTATGGACTTCCTTTTAAATTAATTCTTTACAAATACCTACACAAAGTTTTTTTAAAAGAATATGAAATGTATACAAAAATAAGCTATATTCGTGATTTGTCTCATTTGGAAGAACTGGCAACCTAATTACAAAATGTTATAGATAATTTATGACATCCCACTAAAGGTTTTCTCAATTTAAATTTGCATTTAAAAAGATGCAGCCTAATAACACCAATACATCAAAAGGGTGTGAAACACCAAATTAATATTAAAAACAATGCAGATATTCCTAGATTACAAGTTTCAGACAATTTTTAACCAATTACCCCAAGTAATCGTGTGTGCTTATGTTTGCATCGAGTTTAAAATTCTTCCCACCTGACCAGCTGTTTTCACAGACCGCCAGCTGTTAGAAATGATAATGATCAGCTGTAGATCAGCTGGTGGCAGTGATTGTTGACTTGAGGTTTGCCAGCGCCTACCTGGTCATTACACATTTAAATATGCGCTGATTGTAGACTACTTCACCACCTGTGGTTGACAATTTATTGACCGCTTAGACAAATTATGTGTCTTTATTATTCATTATACATTCAGATGTATTCAGGTTTATTTTCATTTAGAAGGTAATAAATCAGATGCCTACTATCTTATATCAACATCCGTTGTGTGTTTATTTGCGTTATGGTCACTTTTAAGGTCACATTCAACTATGTTATTTAATCCATAGAAAAAATATCGTACGATTTTAAATAGAGGAATCCTTCAACGAAATGCTCCTTATCCTTGCCTAAAAAGGCTCGTTCTTTTTGTTTTCCATGAAGATCGAAAAATCACTGACCCTCGACAGCAAAAAAACTACGTAAACTTCTTCAAAGATGTCGTCTCATCTCTGGACGTTACATTTTTGCGCGTTTAAGTGCGCTGAAATCATCCTGTGTGATTTCCCGGGTCAGAATAGGACTGCAGCTTTCCCCAGCTTGTCATAAAAGGTTACTAACAGAACAACCCTAACGCAGCTCTCAGGATGCGCAAGGCCGTGTCACCCGGTCGCATCCAATGCCCGGGCGCTTATGCCGACGCGGGACACAATTTCTTCCGCTGTATACATTTGTGTTGCTTGAATGCTCAACACCTTGTAGGATGCTGTCAATGGACACGGTCATCTCGATGATGAACTGGGCGAGGACATTTGGACCTCGGACCTGTGTGTCAAAGTTCGTCCAATTCTTCGCCAATAAGCTCGACCTTGACCGGATTGTGGACTAGGTTTATAACACAACTGAATGCCAGAAACCGTGCTTAGGTTCATGTTGATCGAGTGTTGGACATGAAAAACTAACTTCAGATAACCATGGTTATGGAAAATCCACAAAAGTGTTTCTTGAAATCTCGAACAGTAAATTGGACTCTTATACACCATCTTCAACAATCAAACTGACCTAACCTAACTGTCCTGAGCGTCGTCTTTCGTGTGGTAATTTCTACTTGTTCTCACTTCTCATTGGCAGGCGCCATGCAAAGCAAGTGTTCTGAGGGATATACGCCTCGTAGCTGACAAGTGGCTCATCCTCCTGTCAATGGAATAAGTGTTTCTGTCCATTACACCTTGGCTCGTCCTGCTAACGGTCACGCGTACGACAATCTCACCTACACACGGCATAACACGCATACAAACTACTCGTTAGAGATTAATAAGATTACCTCTCATACCAAGGAATAGATAGGGTAATACTGCATAGTCTAAAATCTTAGAGAATCGTGGATGTAACGCAATTGACCTGGTAATCTCTGAGAACCTGTAAACATAATCGTAAGATAAAGAAAGTAAACCCAAGAGTTCATCTAAAGCCACCCCATTGGACCCTGTAAATATAAATTTAAACATACATTTTGTCATAAAAACGTAACGGAGGTTTTTGGACATGGTTTTAGATGTCAGAAATGGCTTTCAAAGTCACCAAACGACTCTAAAAAATATCGCCTCCCCTCTTTGGCAAGGTCCTAGAACTGCCACTGTCTCTTAAACGTTATAAGCTCACCAAATGAAAGAGAAATGAAGTCTTCGTAGGAAATATTTGTTTGATTTGAAAGGGAACATTCATAAGAATTCCAAACGTCACAAACAAATTTTGCAACGTCGGCGCCAACCGATTGGCCAGGGTATTGGCTATACCGAAGGAAATCAATTAACTATTCTACGCTACATGTCTATCAGGAAACATAACATTCTAGGCTTGTTTAGAGTTTGGGGAAGACAATTCATAATTTACTCTGCTTTCGGTTTACAAAGTTTTAAATATCACATACTAATTTGCAGTCACCTGAGCGAGGTTCCTTTCACAGCCGGATTTTCGACGAAACCAGTTATTTTATAGAACACAATCTGGTGTAATCTGACAAGGTTGTTTATTGACAGGAAGCGGAATCCCAACACAATAGTTTGTCCAACACATTAGGCAATAATGTCACCGCAGACGTGAGTAATACGAGGTTCGTTCGGTAAATTACAATTATCTTTCCAAGTTTCATTTCTGTTTGGGTTTACAGTATTTAAACCACACAGGAAGCATTCGCTCTCAGCAGTTGTCTTTTTCTCCTCCGTTTTTTCACCTTTGTTCAGAGGCTCGGCTGCAATTTTAACGTCATTGACTCGCCGCAAACCAGTTCCCTGGCCATGAGTCTTGTGGTAGGTTTGTGTTTGTGGCTAATGACTTTACTGCTTCGCTGGCTTGAGGTTTTTGCTCGATAATTGCTCTTTGCAAAAAGTGTACTAAAATTGAGTTGGAAACGTTTTTCGTGTTTATGAGCGGATTCGCACGGAGTTTTTGTTTAGGCTCTGCAAAGCCGTAGTCCCAACCATTTGTTTTTTTCGTTTATCTTAAATTCGAATTAAAGTATTTGGACTAGAAAACTCGAACATAATTTATGTGCATCATATATTTAATTTAGTATGTTTTGCATTTCTCACTACCATCAAAATGCTACCAATTAAACAATACTGTGGTACATCAATTTGCCAACAACATTAAACACGATTTAAAGTGTTCTGTGCTTATCAATATTTTGTTTCAAGTCTACAGAGGGTAAAGTATCTCCCCTGGCTAAAAAGCCCTAACCCGTCGATTTTTTTATATAATTTTTTTTTACCGATGGTTATCAAACAGTATACTACTACTCAAGAGAAATCCCTCTAGTCTGTCTTGTTTGTATAATTGTTGCAATACTTTCAATCCAGTCCCAGGTGAAACCTCAAACCTGTATTTTCAACTAATGAATGATCATCACACACAAGACATCCCCAGGTGTCAGGTGAATGAACTGTATTCAGTTCTAGTGAATGATCACAAACGAGACTGTCCTAGGCTCTGCTTGAGTCATCAAGGAATTCGCAACCTCATCAGTGATTGATGTAGTGGTCGACCTTCTTTCTTTGACATCCGTTTCTTTTAATTTGCCATACCGTTCGTTTTGGCTATTTATAACTTCAATTGTACTGGTAAAATACCAGCAGAAAGGATATTTTCAAGAAGAGGATCGTCACTAGTAAAATTTGCCCAGTACAAGATGGGTTAGGTCACTTTAGGTTCAGTTAAGTTAGGTTAGGTTAGGTTGATTCAGGTTGGGTTGGATTGAGTTAGGTTTAGGTTATTTTAACGTTTAGTGGTTTATTACTGTCCAAAACGATCCTTTGTAGTCATAACAAACTAATTTGGACAGTGACAAGGTATTTTACACTATACGTTAATTCAGACGACCCAGAGGCCATTCCATCATGAAATAGGTTCGTTTAGGTTAAGTTGAGTCAGGTCAGGTTAGGATCGTTTAGGATAGGTCGAGTTACGTTAGGTTAGGTTAGGTTTGACGAGGTTCGCTTTCATTACGTCCATTTTCATAGGACAAAATTTAACAGTAACGACCCTCTTGAAAAGACCTCAGGGTACTTGTGCGCCAACAACAAACACGCAAAATTTCAACTTCATCCCTACAATCGCATCTAGCCCACGTATATTCACGAGTTAATCTGCAATGGTACGGTCGTGGAGTGGTTACACACATGAACAAGAGAATATTGACCTCCTCCACTCTTGAAGCAGAGGTAGGGGAAGCGCCACAGGTTGCCTAGGCCGACGCTGTAGCCGACGCAGGCGAGGATGAACTGCAGCTTGTTGGCCCAATGGTCTCTGCGGGGACGGTAGTGTGTGCCTGCGTCGCTCAACGTCCCCGTGTAGGAGGTGCAGGACGACAGGTCGTCGTCGTCGATCAACCTGCAAAAGAGACTGATGTTAGAGATCACTTGATGTGGGTCTAAAGAGGCTAGAGGTGTAAGGGTCTATTGTAAATGGTCTAGAGTGGCTGTAAAAGAAGGCATCCTGATAAATCTCATCTTCCTCTCGCCTGTGCTGGTAGATGTTTTCAAATTCTATTTAAGCCCATTGAAATATGCCCTGTGAAGGTGATGTAAAGTGATGTAGCCAAACCCAACCTAACCTAACCTGACCTAACCTAACTTGCATTGGGAAAAATTTGATTGGGGCGTCCCTCCTTTTGAAAGACCCGCTGAAAGTAAAGAAGAACCCTTGATGGGGTTCCGAAGAGATTTCGACGTGCAAATCGATCGTCAGAGCTGGTCTTGGGGGAAGAACTCCCCCCATGGATCATGGTTGAGTGAATTCAAGGCGTTTTGCTAAAAAAATACCTCAACCTATTATCAAACGTTAAATGACTGGGACCGCTATCTAGATGAATGTGGTAGCATTTAAGGGTAAGAAGAATCAACCCATTTTCATCTGAAGGAATTAAGTGGAAGATAAGATAGTTCAATATACTGTAACTGTAGTCTACTACATTGAAATCCTTCATATCTCGGAGTTCGTTTATAAACTTTTTTGTTCTAGGACGCAAGGCCCGAGCCTGGGATCGTTTTTCACATTACTTCAGGCTAGACCTATGGGTTGCGGCACTATCACCTAGATAAAATCCATTGGTTACTTGGCGGGGATCGAACCCGGGACCTCAGGGACTGAAGTCCCGCGCTCTAACCACTACGCCAGCTCGCTCCCCCTCGTTTATAAACTAGTACATATAAGTTATATAAGGTGAAAAGCCGGGATCCGTAATGCTGGGTAATTTAAATGTGCTCAATTTAATTTAAATGTAATCTATGTATTTAAAGTCTTCTTTACCTAATACCACAAGATCTTGAAAATTGTTAGCCAAATTCCTCGATGAAATCGAATGCAAATGGCCAAAAGTTACCCATTTTACATGTTATACTTAAACACGACATTTATACACGTCAAAAAGTTTCTTCTCAAAACTTTTTGCATTAATATATTACTGTTTATGCCGATTTAGCTATCAATATACATGGTTGTTAGGATAAAGCGCATAGACTCGGTGGCATCCATGGTTTGGTAAGGTCCATCGCTCAACCGGAAAGACCTTGGCAAAGCTAGTTGCAGCTGACTATGGTGTATGCTACACATCCAGTGGTAATAGTCTGTCTGACGGAACCTGTCTACTAGTCCATATACCTGTGTGTACACTGTCCATTAGTTCGGACGAGTCCCATGAGGAGGGCCAGGAGACAGGTTACATCATGCAGACTGTAGTAGACATTTATACAGGGTTAGGCAAAAGTATGGATACAACCTGTCAACATTTTAGCGGGTGGCACAAGGAAAACATCAACCTACAGGGTGATTGATATAAGTGTGCCAGCCGTTTTATTCGAAAACCATAAGAGATATCAAAAAAAGGTAAACGGTAAGTGCCTTGGACTTTTTATTTAAAAAATTGTAGTAAAGTCGAAAAAAATATTTTAGCCGCCATTTTTCCAATATGGCCGCCAACTTTGATTTTTCTTACGGAACACCCTGTATTTTATGATGTATTCTGGTAGAAAATGTAATTTTAAGACGATTTTATTCTTGTGATTTTTTTCATAAACCTAACCGTTTCAAAGATAATAATGGTTTAAGTTGTGAAATTTTGAATGGTTTTCAAATAAAACAGCTGTCATGCTTGCTTAGGCCTTTATCGAAACTCTTTCTCATGCAGAAATTTCAAAACTTTAACCATTATTATCTTTGAAACGGTTAGGTTTATGAAAAAAATCACAAGAATAAAAATCGTCTTAAAATTACATTTACTACCAGGATACATCATAAAATACAGGGTGTTCCATAAGAAAAATCAAAGTTGGCGGCCATATTGGAAAAATGGTGGCTAAAATAATTTTTTTGACTCGACTACAATTTTTTTAATAAAAAATCCAAGGCACTTACCGTTTTGCTTTCTTTGATATCTCTTATAGTTTTCGAATAAAACGGCTGGCACACTTATATCAATCACCCTGTATATATTTGTGTAAATCGATCTTCAAGAATGTCAAAATCAATGATTCGAAACTGGACCCTGCAGTCCGTGATCGTTGGGATTAAAAAAAACTATTTTGGGATTGAGCAAATAATAATCAGCTGATCGTCGTCAGCAACAAAGGTATAATTTCATTCATTCAACAGCCATCTTTTAATCACATTTGCCTTAAAATACGCACCATGGCATGTCGGGGTCGTAATTAAAATGTATATAACATAGACAAATAAATTATTAGTATTTACAGTCGAATAAATTATTTCACGCTTTCTTCTACAAGTTTTACTTGCATCTCTCTTTACCAAGCACTTGACTACCGAGGAGTATCTTTTATGGAATCCACACATGAAAGCAATAACTGTATTGGATCAAACGCAGATTCTTAGTATTGTAATTAATTCACTGAGAGCAGCCAGAGTCGAGACTGAGCGAAGTCATGAGACTGTTACATGATAAGATGACGTCACTCGACACCAAAACAAACCCGCGGCGAGATTGGTGGAACGTTAGTCATTTACCGAATTCTTGCAAATCTCGGCAATCTAGATAAATAAAACTTGGGCACTTTGGTGAGGAAATAAGCTCTTTCTAGTTGTTTTTGGAAATGCGAGAATTAGATTAATGAGTGTGGCTAAAGGTGTGACGAATAGCACAAACCATGGGTCATTTCAAGGTGAAGTACCCCACTATTTACCCTATACAAATGAAAGTGTGAATTGGAGATATGCAATGTAATATACTTGTAATACAAAGAAATTATGTTTTTAGACATATTTTGTGAAGGAACCTAACCTATCTTGTGCGTATTTTCCATTAATCATACACAATAAAGCTGGAAGAGTATGGACTTCAGAATATCTGGAGGTAGCACTTCTCAAGGAGATTTAGTGCCACTGGCAGCCATTTTGAATTGTCTTGGGGTGGAATATCCCTAGCTGGAAAACGGTATACCCAGCCATAGAAATATACGGAACCGAACCAACCTTAGACCAACAGCATGTTTGAAATACAGTACCGACAGTATACCGTAGTAAAACTCCAAACTAGTCCAAGCCCAGATAATTTGTTCTAGCTGTGTGTTTTTTAGTCTACAGCTAGCTAAGAAGCCTGGGCCTAGATTTCGTCCCCTTCCAACATAACCTATCCTAAACCTAACATAGCCTAAAATATTCGTACATAACCTAACCTTAATTTGCACAAGGCAAGTTTTAATAGTGGCGGCCCTCTTCTTGAACTCACCCCAAACAATGTATCAACTATTTACTCCTGGGGCAAATAAAGAACATTCCGGTGAGAAATAATTATAATGCATTTTCTATGGATATCTCTGGTTGTAGCGACGCATACCAAGATACTTTCTCAACAAATGCAAAACTTGACGTTATTAACTGAAGGTGTTGTCCTGTCCAAGGACTCTGATCTGGTTTTAACTGGACTGAGAGTGTGTGCGATCCTTGAAATTCTACCAGTATATAACTGTTCGATCTACGATACTATTGACTTTGGATACTGAAAGTAGACTTCCTATGCTTTTGTGCGTGTTTGAAGACTGTTGTACGCATGTTTGATGTCTCCTCTACTGCGTTGATATTGATGAAATATTCATATCGATTTTATCGCTATTGATTTAGGAGTATGGGTTCCGAAGTGGTTATATCTGAGTTTATGTTCAAGTGAGATTTTATTCACATTTTTCAAAAAGATGGTGGCCAATAAGATGAACGTTTTTGCAGAATCTCGATGCTCTAGCTCAAACTGCAAAGGAGAAGACCCCCCAAAACGAAACAAAATAGGATATAATTATGTTTGTATAAACTATTTTGACCTTATTTTATTCTGAGAGGGGTAAGCTCAGGGTCCTAGCACGTCAACCGAGGCTTGTGCATTATTCTGAACCAAGGAATCACTACGTAAATTATGTTCCCACCTTTTTTGAACACCCTGTATATGTACTTACCGCGGCAGTCTCGGAAAGGCGGGAAGACCTGACGGAGAACACGACGATTGTGACGAGGAACACCGAGAAGTTACGGAGTCCTTCATTGTAGAAGTTTCACACCTTACTAGCTTTCGAGTGTTTGCTACACTTAAGTGCTAAGTAATGGCGAGGTATAATCAGTTTAGCGACAGATCGCTAAGGCAAACATTCGTCTTGTTATTGTAGGGTAGGAAATCACGAGATTTACCTTGGCAGTGAGGTTAGTGAAATAATTTCACGTGTGTCAGAACCGAATCACTTCATTATAGTAGTCACGTGAACTTATTAATGATCATCCGGATTTGAACCCACGACCCCAGTTTCGTGCACTAACTTGACAAGCTGAACCCCAGACGTTAATGATGTTGATTTTAAGTTAAACTTTCACTGACTTACACTTCTGTGTCCCAGCTATTACTTGACGAACAGTTTGATATTATCATTACTCTCCACCTAAAAATGTTCAAATAAGAGGCATTGACATGCTGTCTGACAGATTCAACAACTCTTAAGTGTTCAATACTTCTTGAGGTGTCATAAAAGTAGATAATTAGTTGATAAAACCCTCGAAATGTCAGTCGTATTAGGATAATTCAGTGATTATCTTTATTGGGATTTAATTGGGCATGTTTTTGATATGGGTGCTCGTATTTTAGAGTTTAAGGACTAACAAGAATGTGTTATCACAGACAGTGAAAATATTCAACGTGTTTGGCCTTTCAATCAATTACGTTTTGAAAGAGGGGTTCAAGATGAAATGTTACCTTTCTATTTTATTTGTGTGTGGAATATTTTTACCAAAAGTGAGAATGATGAACAAGTCTTTTCTGTTCGCAACCATCAAAAAGGTCGTTTGGATAGTTCACCTTTTGTGCACATTTATACGGATTTTCTTCCAAATCACTATAC